TCAAACTGTACGCGATAAAGGAGGACAGAGTGGTGAGTGCTCGCTCTAGTGTGAATTCATAGCAACCCCTTGTGTAATGGTAAAGAACGTAAAGCATTACAATATTGCAGCTATTTGCTGCCTTTTCCCTGAGATAAAAAAATGTACTTTCAAATACGAAATCTTGCTCAAACAACGATGCCGGCTCATGTTGTGAGAAAAAAATGTTAAGATTTACATCATACATTACTATTTTTCGAAGTAACCATTTAAATGTCAACATTAAATACAATAGCCTGTCACTGACAACTACAACGTAACCTTAAACGCCGTCAAGGCATTGAACTTTAAGAGCATTTTAGACAAAGACGGATGTAAATGCTTATATCCATACGCTCAAGAAGAATAAAAATAACATTTTTAATAACAAATTATGAACTCAATGATAGAAATATACAAATAAGACGTGGATATGACGTTAGCGCACCGAAATTGAGGCACTGAAATAACACTAATTGGTATAATTAGATAAAAATTCTATAGACTACTATCTCTTTCTCTCTCTTATTATACATTCTATACCATGTGTCACATTCAAATAAATAATAATATGTCAATTCTATAGACTGCTATCTCTTTCCGTATCATACATTCTATATCATCTGTCACATTCACATAAATGGCGTTTAAAAATTGATTTTTAAACGCCGCGCACTATGGAAATGCGTCATCTATATTATTAAACATCATTGGTGTGTACTTATACACACGTAATTAGTTACACTTCTCTAGCGTAACAAAAAAAAATAACTACAAATTTTATCTCCTATGCCAGTACTCTTTGTTTGTGAAAAAGACATTAAATGCAATTGGTAACGGTTTACTCTTCTTTTTACGATATTTTTGTTTTTTTTCTTACAACCAATGTTTACAACATTGAACCTAACTAAATTACATATTATTTATAAACCTATTCAAGGCACCATGCCAAGAAGGCACAACGCTACCACATTTCCTCCCTGAAAAAGTTGTTATTGGTTGCCATGGTAATACCGTCATCATATCGCTTTTTTGGTGTCGGTGGCCGCGTGCATCGCTAAAATTATTTACTCTCATAATTTCTCCAAGCGCGCGAAAAGCACCGACGCAAACACCGACTTCGAATGTCTCAATCACTATACATTTTCTACTTCATTTTGAGTCCTCTGATGAATCTCCGGAGTTCAAGATCCAATAGCAATTAAATGAATATAATAGCACCACATAGAATCTAACCCGAACCCAATGTAAAAACAATTTTAAAAACCGACCAAGTGATGAGTATGTCGCCGTACACCTTGCGGCCTTCAGATATCTGAAACACCAAAAACTGGTTGATTCATATAACCCAATTAAAAATTATGCCCTCGTATCTAACTAAAGCGATTCTTTCGCCCAACCTCGAACCCAATCACTCTGCATGAGCCAGATAAAGCCAATTACGAAAACCGCGTCCGTCCGCGGCACTCAATAACATTCCAAACATCGCGGCCCTTTAGGGATGTCAAAATTTACGATTTAATTAAAATCCCCATCGACCGACGACAGACAAGGGACCCTATGAGTCCGATAAGCAGATAAACCGTAGAGTTACGTCAATGGGCACGATTACAAATGGCACTAACTACACTAATAGTCTGTCTTGTCGCGCGTACATAGTTTACGCAAAAATAGTATCCATTTGTAAAGTAGACATCGGAAATTTTATTAGTAAATGAGAATGTTTGTTAAATTTTAATTATTATAACCATTTTTTTATTAACGAAAAACAAAACTAACTTCAAATATCTCGCTCTGTATTCGTTTTATAATTGATTTTCAGGAGTTCCATAAGTATCTCCGGAGCCCAAGATCCAATACCAATTAAATTAATTAAAAAAATAATAATAATTTGCAGACATGTTTTTGTTTTCCGTAACCAAACGTTAAAACGGGATCCTATTACTACGACTCCGCTGTATGTCTGTCTATCTGTCTGTCCGTCTGTCACCAGGCTTTATCCGTTGAAATTTTCACAGATGATGTATTTCTGTTGTCGCTATAACAACAAATACTGTCGTCGGGGCCGTTATTACAGAATGTCTAATGTTCACCATAGGTTGCAGTTGCCCATAAACCAGCAACTAGAAATGCCAAACAAATTGTATTGTTTTTCCGGTAGTTGTATCTTTAAAAACTCCTACTATAAACTATTTCATCTAATGAATACATAGCAAAAGTGTATGAGTTTATGGTTGTTTTGGCCCAGAGTGAATGGTCATTAATCATTAAAGATGGCAACAGTGCCGGATTGAGCAAGCGCGGGGCCCGTAGCAATTTCTTTGAAACAGCCCTTGATCTGCTATGGGTTCTTAAGTATAAATTGGTAAAAAACAATTCAATAACTTGATGTTGTATTTACAATGTCAATAAGTGCGTGTAATGCTCATATGTTGAATAAAGATGTTTGTAAACAACTCATTTAATAAGTTTCACTCAAAAGGCTAAGGCAGAGATCGGTGGGTAGACGTCAGGCAGGCGGCCGATCGTTAAAATTATAGCCCAAACCGCTTACAACGTGATTCATTATTGTGCACACTTAGGTGGAATAAGGACAGGGCGATGATGATGATGATATGTAAATAATCAATTTCTGCAAGTACTAGTGTCATGTTTTAAGCAAACATCGACCAAATGCACGCTGGACATCATAAATACGAATTAAGTTACTTATTAAAAGAAATATGATTTTATTAAAAGTAAATTGGTACAACGCTAAATCAAAAATATTTATGGTTCAACTAATTATTACTTTTGGTATTATTGCTTTATCCTGAACATTGAAGAATTAATACTCTAGAAAAATATTCATTCATAGATTTAATAACTTTCATCTTTCGGAACAATAAAAAAATAAATGATTCGAAGATATGTGAATTCCGCCAATCCGCAGTGGGGCCTCGTCATGGACGATGCCCCTGGTACCCTCTATACAGAGGAGGCCTCTACCTAGCAGTGGAATATGTATAGGCTGTATACTTACTTTTTCATCTTAGGCTAGCGCATATATTATATACTAGCTGCTGCCCGCGACTACGTCTGCGTAGAATAAGCAGTAGGCGTAACATTCGGACAGAAAAACAGATATACATAAAAATATGTATATAAATTATAGCCTATGTGTTATTCTGATGTATAAGCTATATTATTGTAAGGTTTCATTAAAATCCATTCAGTAGTATTTGCGTGAAAGAGTAACAAACATCCATCCATACATACAAACTTTCGCCTTTATAATAATTATTGGTAAGGATCATGTAACATAAATAAAACATCTGTTTAAATAAACGAAAACTTAAAACAATACACCAGATTCCAGTATACAATAGAAATTTTAACAACGTTTCTGTATCGATTTCAAGTAAAAATTCTGTTTCTATCGGACTATATGAACTTTAGCTACGAATCTAGCGCGGTTTTTTTTTTCCGTGCAGAGCCTTAAATAAGCAAAAGAAAGGGCTGTAATATGAATTATAAAATAGTGACGTACCTGAAGATAATTATTTTGAAAAAGGCGGTCGAGGTCGAGCCAGTGATGAACCGCGATCTCTTCTGTTAGAATGATGATAGAGCCGTTGCCAATAAACGCACTAGCTCAGTAAGTAGCATAAATTATTAAATTCTGTAGTCTTAAAGCTCACCGATGATCATTTTGACCCTAACGACCTCAGCTTTTCCTTCCAAGCAGTAGCTAATGTGTTGGTAGAGAAAAGAGTGAAATGATAGACATCAAAGAATCATTAGATTTGGAGACTGTTAAAGATAATTAAAAAATAAATAGACACCTGCTACATTCCTATTGATTTCGCAGGAACAGCTCACGAAGATAACCAACACAATCGACATGAGTCTTTTTTTTTATGTTAAAAGTTGCCAAACGAGCAGACGGTTCACCTGAATTTAAGTGAGGGTTACAAATGCGTTGACAACCTTTTGAAAATTGGGCTCCGGCTACCTCACTCACCAGAGGAAACAGGAAAGTATTTGTCATACTTCCACTTTACGCCGGTCTTCTGTGAGGTCGTGGTACTTACCCGGACGGGCCTGCCCATTCGTGCATTGACCGAGGCTGCTGCGTGGCGTTACCCCACCGTCCGTCTATTTACACACAACTTAGAATTTAGTAAAGGAGCGTAGGTGTGTTAAAGGTTACTTTAGTATTAGTGTTTATTTAAACGATAACAAACTCTGGAAATGAATTAATCGCTCCAGGCTCTTTCAAGTCGAAGTTAATATAATTATTGTAAAAATGTTTGGCTTTTTTGGCAAATTATGTTAAAAAAAATTGTCGAGTTGACTTTTTTTCGCCGTTTCTTTTCAGGTCAGTGGCTTTATTTTCTGACAGCGTAGTAGTGTTTTTTGTCAATCAATAAGTTGGATTGGAATCAATAAATGGAATACTTCTACATTGAATAAACATATTTTTATTAAACGGTTTTATTTAGCTCGACACGTACGGAATTTGTTTATTTATCAAACGGTTTTATTTAGCTCGACACGTACGGAATTTGTTTATTTATTTGGGTCAAAATTAGAAATTGAAATTTAAGCACCTTCCCGTTGTCAGATTGATCTGAAATTTGGTACACACATTTAATTTAGATGACAATACAATATTGTAGTTTTTGTTGTTAGGGTCTTAATAATTAAACTTATTCAAACGTAAACATGTCCTTCTGTTGTCACTTTTTACCCGACTGCGCCAGAAGGAGGGCTATGTTTTTCGAGAGTATGTATTTATGTATGTATGTATGTATAATTGTTTGGCACCCTCTGCAGCCTGAACGGCTTGATGGATTTTAGCTTGAGAGGTGTCGTCAGATTCAGTATTTACTGTGAGAGTGGGTATATCAAAATAAAAAAAGTTACACAGGAACACAGTATGGTTTTTCATTTTTTTTAATTATATTCTACTTGTTTAATGATAACAATTTTATTCACAGACAATTCCAGACAGGAGCTGCGGCCGCATGTCGGCCAGATCAAGGGCAGCAGACAGCATACAATTACGTGTTCTAACGGGTAAGTTCGGGAATAGCTAAATCTAAGCCATGCTCAAGGTTAAGCATAGGCCGTGTGAATTCATCACTTTAAATTTTATTTATGTTAGTCTCATATTTCGACTTTTGTCCTAGACACAATCTGCAATCTTTAGGAGAGGCCGCTAAGGTTAAAAAAAAACTAAATCCTAACAATAAACGTTTATACCTTTTGATTTCTGAACACAATACATTCTTCATAGAGCGCAATACTCTTTAGGATTCCGTACCTAAAGGGTAAAACGGGACGCTATTACTATGACTCTGCTGTCTGTCTGTCTGTCCGTCTGTGACCAAGCTTTATCTCATGAATCGTGATAGCTAGACAGTTGAAATTTTCACAGATGATGTATTTCTGTTGCTGCTATAACAACAAAAACTAAAAAAAAATATTTAAGTGGCGCTCCTAAGTGGGATAATGAACCCTTCGTGCGCGAGTGTGGCAAAATCCAATACAATTCGCTAAAAATTAGCGTTTGAAATTGGTATAATTCTAAAAGTGGCTAATTTGAAATTCAAATTTGCCTTCATTATTATTTTTATCGTATATGTTAATTATTTTTAACAAATATATCAATTCTTAAAGGATACACACGCATTTCACTTGTTAATTATTTCATATTTTATCCGGTTTAACTGTACTTTAATTGTTACAGTCTAATTAGTAGTAATTATTGATAATTTTTTTATTTAAGTATGAGGCGGTAGTTTATTTAGGGGACATAATCAAAGAAAAATAGATTTAGGAAAGTGGCACTAATTCGCATATCTTTAAGTGGACATTAAAATCTCGTCTTTCTTTAGACTACGACTGTACATACATATTTTTGCCGATCGTTGAGGATAATAATGGTGTTCTTAAACAGACTTTCAAATGTAAAAAGTTAGCAAGCGATTTTATGGATTTTAAGTGACGACCGCTGCTAGAAAAACAGACTTTTGCTGAAAAACAGAGCGGTTGCAGGTGCGCTGTCAACCTTTGAAACATTATTGGGCTCCGGTTTTTTTGTAATGGAGGCAAGCAAGCTGGCAGTTCACCTGATGTTAAGTAATAACCACTGCCCATGGCCATAATGTGCTATCACTATATGTTTGGGCACTATGAGATATCTTCAGCATTTTTTCCACGTCGACACCGTCCACTCGATTCAAAACTGAATAATTCCAGCACGGGCAGGAGCAAGAGGATAAGGACGATCTTCACACCGGAACAGCTGGAGAGGCTGGAGGCGGAGTTCGAGAGGCAGCAGTACATGGTTGGACCCGAGCGGCTGTACTTGGCCCACGCTCTGCAACTCACCGAGGCACAGGTAAAGAGCCAAAATCCACAGTAGTACCTTCAGGGCATTGTAGTCAACAAATCCTTTTACAAGATAGAATGAAATCATAAAAGGTACTTTCTCAATCCAAAACGCAGTTTAAAAAGTAAATCACTCATGATATGTTACAGTTTGAACAGAAAAATTAGAAACCCTTAGAAAAATATGGGGCACGACAGTCGCTTTCTTCGACGACAGGGCTCTGCGACGCCATATTGCTGACGTCATCGCCATGGTGACCTCGGGAATCGCAAGTTGCGTGCTTCCATGACGTCGGCTATAGCGTCATTTTTTCTAAGAGAAGGTGGCCACCGAGAAAGAAGGACCTGATGGGAAATGATCACTAATGACTATGGTCATCTGAATCTTAAATCTGACCTGGAAATCCAGACACCTCATGTACGACTCAAAAGTGTTAAGCGGCGCGGCGCTTTCGCCTTTTAGCCCAACCTATTTGACCGTAGAAGCCGTTGAATTGGCTCTTGTTTGGTACATCAATGATGCGGCCACCCTAGTGATTCGACGAGTTTGGTGGATGACTCTAACGCTATAACATCGTCATCTTTATAATCTCGCAATTTTTGTATATGCAGAAGTTGACATTTTTTTTAGAAAACCATTTGACAGTGCTTCTTCCTTTGGGGAACGGGAAGGAAGTAGCGAAGTCCAGAAGCGGGACTTCCCCAACAAATCCAGGGGAGGTCAAAATCTTAGCTAGTAATTAATAAATGTATAAAGTGTATGTTAATGTATGTAGTAACATTTAAAGCATTTAATCGGTTCCATAGAGATTATAACCACTATGTCTATGTGTTTATTCTGGGTGCCACTAAAATTGTCTGAAAACGAGAAATAATTGCTTCAGGTGAAAGTGTGGTTCCAAAACCGTCGTATCAAATGGCGGAAGCATCATCTAGAAGTAACACAGCAGAGGTTAGCAGTGCTACAAAGACACAGGCCGGAGGAGCGTGATGAAGACGTGTGAGAGATTTGCGCGTTTTTGTGTACAAGATGTCGGACTTTGAACATTACAATCATTTGAATAAGTGAATTAAGGAAATAGTGTTACCTTTTAAAGTTTCATTGACGTAATATATCTAACAGTTCTGTGTTTTTATGGATTAATTACATAAAATCTAAAGATTTTGTCTTAACTGACGTCAAACATAAATTTAGCCGTGACTGAACAAGGTGCGTTAGATTTCAAGCGAATATATACTCTAAAAATTACTTCAATTAGCTTTACTTTGGAATGGAATGTTAGGCTTTGTTTATGAATTCTATTTAGATAAATTATTTTATCATAAACCCTGTCGGATTTACTGAACAACATTTTCGATTCAACAACTTTATTTACAATCAAATTGTTTTTGTCATAACTAATTTAATGCACAACAGAACATGGACAAGAAGTAATTTAACGTCGCTAGGTGTTCTTTCCAATTTCTATGATTATATTCAGCAATGAAATAGTAGTAGTTTTTTTATAAAGTGGCGTAAATTTGTCAAAATTATGCTAAGTATTGTATATTATCAATGACATTCATTGTGTATCTAGTATTTTTTATAGTTTTTTATAAGTTATAAAAACCTATATATGTATATAAAACATCAATTGAAACCTCTCATGGTTTCTCGGCAATTAACCCCGCAAATATTTGAAAATGGCGTCACTCTGTAGGTATATTTTTCATCTATGTACCTATATGTAATGTTAATCTAATAGTATGGTAGACTAATGTAAGAATGTAACTAAGCATATAGAATAAATGTAACAATAAAGTAAGTGAGTAAGTTTTTATTAATTTTCATTCGTCGTCGACAATCATATTTATAAAAGTTGCGTATCAATTCTACTTACATCGTGTTTAGTAATTTTACGTGCGTTAATTAACATAAATTGATGCTCGTTGTCTGGTCAAAGGAACTTATAATATATAACGCAACTAGAATTTGACATTTATAAATTGATTTAATTTAGTTTTAATTATTTTATTCTAACTGAATCTTTCTGTTGAACATCATATGATTAATGACTAAAATATCCCTATGGTGACTCTATGGTCACCTATATGACACATCAAAGCTTTCGTAAACGTCTAAAATGTGTCGTGTGTATTATATACTTGTCTATTGTTGTTGTTTCTTTCATTGTTCTTATACTTGTCTATGTATTAACATTCTTTTATCTATTATTTATTGACAAGTAAATAATCAAAGCGTGTTAAGTTGTCATTTTTGACATAAATCATGGAGTTGCTGTGCAAGTAGTTACATCAATTTTATTGACGCATATAGATACTATAAATGTGGGAATATAAATAACTAAATCTGTATCTTTGCAGTATGACAGCTAATCGGCTTAATAGGTTATAAATTATTATGGCATTAGCTAATATTTCATATAATAAAATAATAAACAATCACAATAACAGAAAAATATTCAGTTTATTTTCTGGTTGTTTTGTTCTATAAGAAGGCCGCGTAATATAACCTTCCAAAAAGGTTTCGAAACAGTCCAATATTTATAACTGTCAACTTTGACAGATAAACTAACGAGACATTGGCCGTAAGAACATAAAATCAACGACTGAAAATGTAGTTGATGGTCAGAAGAGGGGCGCCGCTTTCGTTTTTTTTTTTTTTTTCATTGATAGTGTTTGCTAATTAATTCTATTGGTTTTTTTATGGACATATCTTGTTTGCTCCGACTTCATACATGGATAATAGAAGTATATAGTAATTTATGTTTAACAATCGCGTTATCTAATATATGATTACAGTCGTCGAGGTAAGTAATTTCAGCCTCCATTGCGCAGTCGCCAATGTTTTGGCTTCGGCGCCGAGGTCGTGGGTTCGATCCCCACCGGGACAACTATTTGCGTGACCCACAGATAGTTGGATCGGATCTGGGTGTTTGTCCACGTGAAATTTATTTATGTAAAACGGCCTTACAACACAAGATGATGATATCCTACATTAAGGGCAATGTTTTTTCTAAAAAAATGTAAAAAGGGTATTTTCCAGTTGCGTAACAAGTATCGGTATATCATATATTCGTCATGGATGAAAATCGAACCCACTATCCGCAGCGGTCATTTGTCTGACAGGAATCTTTACCGTTAAGAGCTGATGAGAAAGATGATGGTTTAATAAATATGACGCATGTCCATACTGCGCGACTTTTGAAAATTGGTCTACTTTACATTATACATCATAACATATGTAATAGGTAAGTAAACGTGACAGATGATATAGAACGTATGATACGAAAAGAGATAGCAGTATATACAGCGTGTCTTTACCATCGAGACAATAAATGAACACACGTCTAACGTTACTTGCCAATAATCATAAAAAAATATTAACGTTAAAAAAATCCATAATTAAAAAATAATATTTTTAGTCAGCACTTTATATTGAATTAAAGGCGAGCGCCCGGACACGACCGATGACGACTTAAATCTTTAATACAATTTTAATAAGTTATCCTCTATATGTGTGTTCATTTATTGTCGCGATGGTAAAGACACGCTGTATAATACCAATCTAAGTAATTAGTGTAATTTGAGTGCCACAATTTCAGTGCGCTAGTGTCATATCTACCTCGTATTTGTATATAACGTCATTGCATACATTATGTAACAACAAAAAATAATCATTTACCTACCTTTATTTCATTCCATTGTTCGCACCTAACACATTTTGTATAAATTACAGCAATTTGAATACTTTATGGTTCTTTTTATAATGTGTACTGAAGAGGTAAAGAGGAAACCTATAGGTACAATAAATTATTTAAAGGCGGATGGTGTGGGTTTTAGACAGTGGTGACGAATTAGCAAAAGTTTCTTCGAAAAGCGGATGGTGTGTGACAGTGGTGATGAATTATCGGTTACCACGATTACTAGTCACTGAAATGCAACTTATTAAGGTAAATAATAGTATATCTTTGCTACGATAGCGCTATTCTGGTGTCTTTTAACCGTTATTTGTTTTAAAAGATGTAGAAAAAGTACGAAAAGATTGTCGGCGCTGTGGGAATCGAACCCACGACCTCGGCATTCGCGGCCTGACGCTATTTGTTTATCATGGGACTCGTTTTAGAGTTCCGTACCCAAATGGTAAAACGTGACCCTAATTACTAAGACTCCGTTGTCTGTCTGTCCGTCTGTCACCAGGCTGTATCTTATGAACCGTGATAGTAAGGTAGTTGAAATTTTCATAAACGATATATTTCTGTTGCCGCTATAACAACAAATACTAAAAAATATAAAAGTATATTTGAGTTTTGCTCCTATATAACGGACATGTTTTTTTGCCATTTTTATAGATAATAGTACGGAAAGCTTCGTGCGCGAATCCGACTCGCACTTGGCCGGTTTTCAACTTATCTCCCATTTAAGATACTCCGCCATATCTCTAACCTCCATAGTACCGGTCTAATTCACAAGTCATTTACAATAACACGGACAAATAATCACGCTTGAGACAAAAATTACAATTAACACAGATTATATAGCCACTACATAATTACTTCGCCAATTTGTGTAACGCGTCTATTGTATGTTAATTAAATATCAACAATGTTGTCCATTGTTACAGGATCTCTTTAAAATCATATAAAAAAACTCGTAATTACGTTTCCATTGTTGAATATAGCATTTTTTTTAATTAGAAATAAGTAAAACAATATATTGTGTTAGTACACACTACAAAAAATATAGTATTCTATGGATAAAGTAAATAAAAAAACTGGCCAAGTGCGAGACGGACTCGCGGACAATGGGTTTCGTACCATGATCTATATTGGCAACTGTAATACAGCATCTGTCTCACTATCACGGTTCATGAGATACAGTCTGGTGACAGATAGACAGCGGAGTCTTTGTTATAGGGCCCCGTTTTACCCTTCGGATACGGAACCCTAAAAAAGGTTACAAAAGCATATTCATCCATCCATATGAATGAATGATAATAATATTGGGAAGTGAGAGCGTTTGAATCTTACTTTGCAGGAGGTCTCTGAATGAGGCGATGCCAATCTTTTGAGATTCAACGCCTTAAAAATGCAGGCGTGTCTTATCTTCGCAAAAAGGAGCCCCTTCGCCTTGGCTCCTATATTGCGGAATTATTTGGATTATACCAACAGCCTTTAGTTGTTGGGATTCGAAATCGAATATCCTCAAACCTCAACTTTGGGCGGTTCATTGAGTCTATAGCCAGGGCAGCTGCAAGGAACTTCACACCGGTACAGCTTCTTGCCCTATACAAAGCTCAAGTCCGTTGGTGTGTGGAGTACAGTTGCCATATCTGTGCTGGGTGCAAAACGCCATCTGCCTGCCTTGGAATCAATAGAGACGCGTGCGGTAAAGTCATTGATGACCGTAACTTGGTAAAAAGCAATCTCACTAGTTTTGAGCGCAGGCCCAGAGTAGCATCTCGGTTTTCTACAGGATGCATTTTGAAGACTCTGCGTTGGAATTGCATGATCTGATTCCTCCCGCCCCTTTCCATCATCGGACAACTAGGCGTTCGGCGGGGCTCTTATGCTGAACCCTTATGCTGTCCACGTTCCACGCACAAGGACAAAGCGATTCGCTTACTTCCTTCTTCGTCATTTATTATCCATACAGCTAAGGGATGGAACAACCTGTCGGCGCCCGTCTTTCTGCCCGATTAAAACGTAGGCGTCTTCAAGGCAAAAATGAATAGATTTTTACTGAGATAGTGCGCTTACCACCAATGGCCATCTAGTAGGATGGCAGTCGAACAATGACCAGTTTCGAATAAGAAAAAAATTGCACGCTTGAAAGTACATTACTATCACTATAGTACGGTTGGCAAGCCCTTTCCGATCAACTGTAGGTATTGCTAAGGTCGTGGTACTTCCACGGCATACTGACAGGTGAAGAACTGAAGCTGTTAGCTGCTGAGTGCTGCTAAAGCATTCTTGTAAACACAATTAATGTTTATATACCTACATACATTGAAGGCACAGATACAGAATTTATTTAACTTATAACAGAATAGAAATACACTATGAACAACTCATAACTGAAGTATTTGACTAATATCTTCGACAAATATATAATCAAAGCTTTCTTCCTTCGTCTACTTAATAAATATTTTTGTTCCATAATCAGTCAAATTCACATTCGGAAGCGGTGTAGTTTATAGTTTTATCACACGATTAATGGCCCGTTTCAATATTCTGTCTGTAGATTTGGTTACTAGCGATCGGTATTTAACATTAGCTCCATAATACTTACGCAAAAATTCTATCCCCAGTAACCAAATCTCCAAATAGAATAATGAAACCGGCTGTAAATCGGTAAATCTAGTTTCATTAAAAAAAAAAACAGTTATGTGGGATCATCGATCTCACTATGTGGTAAATAACTGATTTCCAAGATTTGAAGACTCCACTCGTACGAGGAAAATATAACTTAATCCTATCGTGAACGGCGACTTTACTTGATAGACTTATAACCTCGTTGTCGTTTGAATAGATTTTTCTGGAAGTATATGCCTAAGTGAATACGTAACAGCATATCTTCATCATAACAACTTTGCTCCCATAGTTGCCTTCTTACTAAGCCGTTTCGTAATTACTACTAGATAAGTAAAAGTGAAATTGCTAAAACCGGTTACAGAATAGGTCCGCGGAATTAATGTGCGAGATGTAGTGATGTAGCGTGGTATTTTAGTATCGATATATTATTAGACGTTAAAGAATTACTTGGACTTACATAATTTAACACGCTCTAAAGTAAAATTTACTAGAAATTTTTTACAGATAAAAAAAACCGACAACAATACAATTTCAATAAGATTATCATTATTTCAAAGATCAACAGCTCATGATGAAAAACAAATCTTTTATAGGTTATATTTGTAATAACGAAAACAAATATGCTCTTCTTAAATATTATAACATAGTGGAGCAAGTTAAGTAGTTGTGATCCGTCTATGTAATACGCCGTGTGTTAATCGTTATGGTTTTAAACATTAGTTTAAAAACGCATATGGAGCGAAACTTTGTGTACATACTGTAGGTAATCCAGCCAATCCACTCTTGCAGAGGTAAGAACGGGGTTATTCTTTTACATCTTTCCACATCTGTCCACAACCCGTAGTTACACGAAGTACTTACATCATTGGCGGGAACATTGTACGTGTTTTGCGCTTAATAACGTGTTATCGGTTCCATATCCACGACAGCTATTCATCAAACGAACGACTTCATTGACACGTTCTCATGCACAACGATAACGTTATCGCTTGGACATATTAATGAGATATCGATAGTTAAAATTTGGATTCTTCCTGTTTCTTAGAATATTTTTAGCGACAAGCAAAAAATTTCGTAACACCATCGGCTGACTCGTTTTTTTTTTATTTGAGAAGTTGGCAAGAAAGCAAACAGTTCACTCGATGTTAAGTGCCACTCATGGAAATTTGCAACACCCGTAGAATTACAGATGCGTTGCCACCTTTTTTAAAGTGGATCTCGGTTAAATCCTTCATATTCTTTTATGTTATTTGACATAAAGGTCAACAACATCCGCTCTAATAAGATAAAGATATAATGCAGCATAAATTAAAATTAAATTACTAAAAAAGAACATAGCCTTACGACATTTTAAGTAAAGGATGTATATTAGTTATACCACCTAAGTCACGCAGCATTGTATGCTATCTACACATGAGTAATGTGTAGATTGACAAAAGCAACGATAAAGTTTGTAAGTAGATGCTGCAAACGGGGCGATAATATTAACGCTTCTTTTCATTTCTAGCTAGCTTGGAAAGCCCACCATTACTACAAGACGCCAAGATACCTAATTATTTATTTCAAAATACCAATTTATTTATTTAAAATATGTTAAAAAGCATTTCAAAGTATTTTAAAATAATTTGATTTAAAATTAAAGACTCGGTTGCACAGTTGTCAATGTATTGGCTTCGGCGTCGGGAGTCGTGGGTACTTTTCCCGTGAAAAACAGCTATTTGTGAGACCCAGGATCTGGGTTCACGTCCACGTGAAATTTATGTTTGTAAAACGTGCTAACAACACAGGCTAATGTTATCCTAAAGTAAGGGCAATGTTAAAAAACATAAATAAAAAATAAAATAATTGTCTATCGACAGCAACGCAATCATGTCCGCACATCACTGCATTCGACACGGTACAGTAGGACACGGACGGCGCCGCCCGGGCCGCGCTACGTGCACGCGCGCAGTGTTTGTTTACAAATCGACTTATCAACATCGCGATGCGTTGTCGCGTTCGTTGAACGTTATAAATAATAAACGTTATTATAATCAACTCTGCTATTTAACTACAAAACAAAAACTGTTTGCTATGATACGCGATTAGGTTGGTGAAGTATTTAAAATGAGCGGTAAGTGTTTTTTTTTTACTTGTTATTGGCATATAGGATAACTAATGCCATAAACATGCTTTTTTTGTGTTTTTTTGTAATGTGTAAAATTTTTATACAATAAAAATTTAAAAATTTCGCTCAATAACATTAAGCTCAGTAATTTAATGTTATTTAATAAGGTTTCTGTGTCCTTTATCATTGAGTGAACTCACGTACAAGTTTAACCTTATCACAATACAATATACAAATTATAATCAATCAGTGGCAAAGTTCAAATTAACATTGGCCTTTGCCTAGTCGATGTAAAATACAACAAATGTAAATTTTATTATATTAATAATAACGACTTACAACAACGACCGATATCACGACGTTTACCCCGGGGGCATCGACTGGGATATTATGTATATGACATAAAATAAGATTTAACGACAGCCTATCGCAATAAGTTGGGCATAGAGACAAAGTTGTCACACATGATTTTTTTTTTGTCTGTAACACAAATAGCAGTCAAGTGCGGGCCAGTCCTAAATAAAAAAAAATAACAAACAGCTTAAACTGAACATAACAGTAATTTTTTTTTTTGTTTTAAACATATAATGTATGACATTACCGAGGATAAGAAATATTTTTACTTACAATTTGAAGAAGGAAGTTATATTATTTTCATTTATGTTTGAAACAATAAATATATACAATAATGTAAAACTCTTGTACGAAATTTTCTAATTCATTTTGACATGGGCAACACTTTTCAATGCTTTTCTCGCATTTTAACAAGAAATTTAATTTAATTGTTAAGTCGGTGATTTCGAGATCACTACTTCAGGTTAAGGCGCATCAAGTCAAGTCGCTAATGCGTTAATACTCTTTGCATCATCTATCATGATATGTGACAAACTGAGCACTCGCCATAACTTTTCCGAATTAATAGGCTTGGTGATAAGTAGAAAGCTGTAACAATTTCTGCATGTCAAGATTTATATAATTAAGAGTTTATTTATTTAAATTGTTCGCTGTAGGAGAATGGTGCATTCTCTTCGGCCTATTGCAAACCCAAATCCCAACTCAAATGCGTTAATCGCATCTTGTTCTGTCACTGGCGGGGTAGTTGCTACAGTGTTCGACATGTCGGATTACAGTAGGTACCTTATTTATAAGAAAATATAAATAAAAAAATATAAATATTTGTTTTAAGTACATTTAAGAATTTAGCGGAAAAAAATAGTACGCATTTGTTTATCATTATTTATTAAATATAATATTTATTTTAATATTTTTATTGTCCGTGCGTACTTATTATTAAGTACTTTTTTTTGTCCTAGCTAAGTTCTATTTTTTTTAATTATCATAAGAATACGAAACGAAATAAATAATTTGTAACGAAATTGATAGATACTCTATTTCTTTTTCGACGTCATTTTACGATTATAATAACATTGCACGGTTTATGGCCATGGACAGCCACTCTTCTATATTTTCCAATTAAGACAAAAGTTTCTGACAAACATTACTCACGCTGCGCAGTGGACATGTTCCACTTTACATTTAATATAAAAAAAGTGTGATAATTTATTAACAACTAGCTGAGCCCGCGACTTCGTCCGCGTGAAATTTTAAATAAAAAAAATCTAAAATAAAACTAGCCTAAGTTACTCCTTATTACATCAGCTTTCTGCCAGTGAAAGTCCCGTCCAAATCGGTCCAGCCGTTTCTGAGATTAGCCGGAACAAACAGACAGACAGACAGACAACAATTGTAAAAAATGTTACTTCGGTATATGTATACATCCATATGCATTTAGTAAAAAGCGATTATTTCAATATTACAAACAGACACTCCAATTTTATTCATCTGTATAGATGACAATACAGTACATTTCGGTAAATAAATGTATTTTCTTTTTCTGTTCCTATGTTACTTCATAGGAGCAGAAAGAAGGCTATATAGGGCGAGACAGACAGCGGGACGCTTTTGTTTTATACTATGTAGTGATATGTCGTCTTTATGTTATCTACTATTAAAAATGGCCAAGAAAAAAGGAACGATGATAAGTGACGCTGAAGAGCTCTAATCGTCATTTTACCGGGAATTTATTTAAAAAAAATAAAAATGTAATAAGTAGATACTTTTAAACATTTAAGTTTTGTGTAGTTAGAAGTGTTAATTTACGATTGAAAATTTAATTAGTACAATGTCCGTTTGCGTTGTTTTGCATAGAACCTAAGTAATTAAACTACCTATTTTTAGGGTTTCCTATCAATAGCCCCTGTAGCTAAAGCCACATAAATCCGATATACAATACTGTCAGTGTACCCAATAAATACAAACAAAAAAGGTAATATCAGTGCCGACAATGGTAACTTTATTTTAACAATATGCTGTATCCGAAAGAGTTGAACTACAATTGTCTATTTACGTGAAGCAAAAACTTTGTACCCCTTTTTACGAAAATTGCGCGGATGGAGGACTATGAAATTTCCCACACTTATCACTACGTAGTAGAAAACAAAGTCGTCCCGCTTTCTGTCCGTCCATATGTATGCTTATATCTTGATGCGATTTTTTTTTACTAGATAGATTCAAGAGGAAGGTTTATATGTATAAAACATTGCACCCGCACGAACCCGAGGCGGGTGGCTAGTAGTTTAAGTTTATATATGTAGAGAAGCTGTGTAGAATGCTAATATTTTTTTTTAATTATGCATAAAAATACATTAAATCAATAAAAAATCATCGTATGAAACGAGACAAATTTTGACACAGGAAAGAGTTCACTTGGTCATTTTTCGCGGTTATTCTTCGACGATATGACGACGCGCCCAATTTGGGGAGTCATCGACCCTGCGGCGGAACTTCCTTGAGATGGACCTCCTACGGTCAGTCAACCGCGCAGTAAGGGCGAGCAGGGACGGTCGAACAATTTTCATTGAGCATCACGCCATTTTTTTTTTTTTTTTTTATGGGAAAAAAGCAGCAAACGAGCAGGAGGCTCACCTGATGGTAAGTGATCACCGCCGCCCATGGACATCTGCAACACCCGAGGGCTTACAAATGCGTTGCCGGCCTTTTAGGAATGAGTACGCTCTCTTCTTGAAGGTTCCCAGGTCGTAACGGTTCGGAAAGACCGCCGGCGGCAGCTGGTTCCACAGAGTGGTTGTGGCAGGAAATGCCTTGAAAATCGCGCTGTTGTGGAACGCTGGACATCGAGGTGGTGTGGATGAAATTTTTGGTTTTGGCGCGATGTCCGATGGTGAAATTCAGCCGCTGGGATCAATCCAAACAATTCCTCGGAACACTCCCCGTGATAGATGCGGTAGAAGATGCAGAGTGACCCAACATCTCTACGCATTGCCAAAGGATCAAGCTGATCGGAAAGACCTTGATCGTCGATAACCCTAGCTGCCCTGCGTTGGATGCGGTCAAATGGAAGAAGCTGGTAACAGGGGGCTCCCGCCCAGAGGTGAGAGCAGTACTCCATGTGGGGCCGAATTTGCGCCTTATAAAGGTTTAGGCGTTGAGCCGACGTGAAGTACTGTCTCGCCTTGCTGAGCACACCGAGCTTCTTTGAGGCCAATTTGGCCTTACTTTCCAATTGACCGCGGAACTGGACATTGCTCGAGATTTCGACGCCAAGTATTCCGATACTAGCTGTGACAGACAGGGGAGTGTTCTCAAAATGAGGAGTCACGACAAATGGGGACTTTTTAGCGGTTAACGCGCAAACTTGTGTCTTATCGGGGTTGAATTGGACTAAATTTAGTCGACCCCAGTCTGAGACTTTTGTTAACAAAGTCTCGACTTCAGACACAAGTTTGTTCCGGCTCTCGTAGACGTTTTCCCGAGAAATGTTAGCACGGCCTGTGTACGAAACATCCACAGTGCTATCATCCGCATAGCAATGAACGCTGCTGATTTGCAACATATCATTGATATGCAGAAGGAACAAAGTGGGGGACAGTACGCAGCCTTGTGGAACACCAGCATTGACAAATTTAGGATCAGAGCATGCACCGTCGACGACGACCTTGATGCTCCGATCTGCCAAAAAGCTAGTGATCCAGTTGCATAACTTCCCGGGAAGCCCATAGGAAGGCAGCTTCGAAAGAAGTGCTTTGTGCCACACCCGATCAAAGGCTTTCGCTACGTCCAGACTGGCTGCAAGCGCCTCCCCCTTGCTCTCAACTGCTTCTGCCCATCTGTGTGTCAGGTAAACCAGAAGATCACCGGCTGAGCGACCTCGACGAAAGCCGTACTGGCGGTCGCTAATCAGCTGGTGCTCCTCTAGGTACTGCAGGAGCTGGCAGTTAATGATGGTCTCCATTATCTTGGAGAGCAAGGAGGTGATGATGGCTATAGGCCTGTAGTTGGACGGATCCGAGCTGTTGCCTTTCTTAGGGATCGGGTGCACTAAAGCGGCCTTCCAGGTTTTTCGGAATACGCCTAGAGTATAGGAGAGCCGGAAAAGACGCGTCAAAACCGGTGCCAACTCTGGAGCACATGTCTTCAACACGATCGGAGGGATGCCATCGGGCCCACTCGACTTATGAATGTCCAAGGAAAAGAGTGCTCTGCGAACTGCACTTTGCCGAAATTGAACCTCCGGCATCGTAGGATTGTTGGTGGTAATTTTCCTCGGTCATCCAAAGTCGAGTTGGACGCGAAGAGAGAGCACGCGTCACGTTTAGGCACGTTTCGTTACACGATGTAGACGAAACATATAACGTAAAAAGAGAGCGACGTATACCGTATACGCTCTTTCACACACCCTTCATATACAGGGCGAGTCTTCAAGGCAACGCAGAGTTCTTTGCTGTTGCACAAATTACCAGTCTTTTCCGAGAACCACGCCCTCACAGAACACCAATGTTAAGTGGAACTGTTATATTTCTGCTTTTCGCCTAGCGAGTAAGATAACCTAGGCCAACTTTATGAAGGATGGTAACGCCTCATGTTAAATTTAGGGGCTAAGTACGAACGTTAGGCACTTTAAAAAAATAGAAAAGAACCATAAATAGTTTTTGATCAAATTTTCTCCATTCATTGAGATTCGTAATCGTAACCTTGTATGGTATGCGAGCAGTAACATTTTCCATTACAAGCTTTATTTGCTTTCAATGTATACATATATGTTTGTCCGGGTGGAATCTTGCAAATGAATTTTAAACCAGTTGGGCTGAATTGTACACACGCTTATTTGGATGACAATGCATGCTTAACTATGTGACGTCATTCTAATTCCAATGTGGCGGATTATCCAAGACTGCGGACTAGTTATTTTTCTGCACTACCACAGTATGGTTTTCAAATAAAAGAGTTTGCTGAAGATAACACATTAAATAAAAAAAAAGAAACATAATGGTAAAATAAACTTTTTTAAAAAAAAGCTTCTATTTAATTTCCCCGAAAAGAGGAAAATAAACATTAAATTAAATCAAACCAAACAATTTAGTACCTACATGTATTGCAGAATTTATTAAATGATATAAAAGCTTGTCGCAAGATTTTCATATTTTATAGGAAACATTTTCTTGCATAGAATTAAATAAAATAAGCATGTCAAGCGATACTAGTTAGTAAACAGGTAAATCTTACGATTGTGCCACATTAAAAGTCTGTATCAACTATATTTAAAAAAAAATTAAAACGAGATATAAAATGGTCGATCTTCTGAACGCGTCGACATTTCCCTGTTTACAATAACTACAAAACAGATAATTGTAAACACGGCGGCAAAAAAGTGAATAAAAACATGACAAAATCGATTAAACTTGCAATGCAGTCTTTCGACCGCGAACGTACCCATCTTTCTTTTTAATAAAATCCCTCGAATTCTTACACTCGACCTTCTACTGTCTTTTTTATTATTCCATGAACGTTCATTGACAGATATGACGAAAAAAACAATTCCTATCAAAATAATGGATTAATTCGTTATCTGTACCCGATAAAATTGTTTAAAACTTTCTCGAAATAAAATGGCCATAAAAACTATTGCGTGAATCAATTTCACCCGAAGGCTTATTGCATCGCTATAACAATAAATCTTATTTCGATATTTACAAGCTCTTTACCACGTAACATCTTCACGAAACGTGCATTGATCGCACTGCACGTAGGGACTGCAGTGCCAATGTGCAGTGTAGTGCAATCGCGTGTTTGACTGTGCCCTTATTACCTCTGCAGCTATACAGAGAAGCCTTTAAAACAATATAGCGCCAGTGTAAGTGTGTAAGTTGTCGAAATACCACGGTTCTGGTGCACCATTTTGCACCAGAACCGTGGTATTTCGACAAAAAGGCGCTTAATCAAATAGATTATCGTATTAATGATACTAGTAAGGACATTATCAGTCTGAAAAAATGATTATTGTAAGCTTAAGTAGTGTCAAAACTACAACGGTCGTCAATAATGTAAGAAAATGGGTTAATATTAAAAATCAGCTCCAGCTTCTGATTTCCGATTATGGCCGATTGTTTGGGAAAACCCCGACCTCGTTTTTCGTTTCTCATTTCGTCACACAACACATCTCCTCACTGATGGGTCTAACTTATCGTCAGGTGACCCGCATCCGTCATTGTCATCACTTTGAAATTACAACAAAAAATATTTACTTACTTTATGACTCAAAAACTACTTAAATCAAATGTTGAAATGTTAAGTAAAACATAATTATTTGATTTCAATTTTTTAAATTCTAATTTAAACTCTAAATAATCCTAATTTGCACTATTTTTGTTACAAGTTAATTGGAAATTCTCCTAAAAGAAAATAGATTGATGTGGAACGTGATAATCATATGCCGAAATTGCGACCATTACGTTACATTAATATTACGTTATCTGTGGTAGACTGGTCGTTGTAATGCTCTTGAGTACTTCACGTGCAAGTCACACGTTTGTTGATGTTTTTGTAGCAATAACCTTTAATGATGGATAGGCTGTATCGAGAAACCACAAGCCGTTATCGTTAAACTTTAATAAAAATAGGTTTCGTTTTAATCCTTCGTTTTGAGCCTGCCTTCAGGTCGAGTCGAGAATGGTTTAGATTCACAATTCGCTCCACTACTCTCTCTGTCTCTCTCTCCTGCGCAATTATTATTCCTATCTAATGGTGGGGTCTGTCTTCTTGGTCTTATACTTCCACTTCGCCGTTTTCGACGCGTCATTTTCGGTAAACTTGCAGGAATGTAGATCTTGTCTGACCACATCTGTCCTCGGCTTGGGTCGCCCTCTGGGTCTAGATCCCGGAATGTTCAGATTGGTCACTAAATTTCCTATGTATTCTGGAGGTTTTTTTTTTCTAATGTGCGCAAACCAGCGCAGCCTACTTTCTTGAAGCTTGCCGGCGATGTCACGAATTCCCAGACTACCGCGAATGTGTTCATTGCGTATCTTGTCGAGTCTGGTTACCCCGCACATCCACCGGAGCATCTTCATTTCGGCTACCTGCGTGGAGTGGACATGGAGTAACGGCCCAGGTTTCACTACCGTAGGTCAAAACTGGCCTGATGATGCTCTTGTAGACGAGTCCCTTGAGCTTTACGGGCATTCTGCGGTCGCAGGTTACCCTAGTTACTTCACGCCGTTTTGCCAGGCTGCAGCAATTCGATGTTGAATGTTTGTTTCCAAATTTCCTGTATTGTGCAACACAGTTCCTAGATATTTATAGTAGTCACAAATGGTAGCTGACTACAGATGTCACGACCCCGTACATGTCAGCAACGATTTCGACGTAATATTTTTCTTACGAAGACTCCACCAGATAGTTGGTCTCGGTACGCGATCAAACTTTTTTTCCATGTCAAGCAAAACAAGATAGAGTGGTCCAATTCGGCTCATTACATTTTTTTTTATTTCTAAGTTGTCGAATTTCAGTCGTGTATTAATTGTACTTTGGAAATTTTTTGCCCGTTTTAATTCAAGCCGTGACTTCATAGTACATCAGTAAAAAAAATTGAATAGCGGGTTGAGGATTATCGAGGATTTTCTCAATATTAACAACGACGAATAATAATCAATAGTGAACCTTTGGTCTTCGTATTATTTTCTCCGGCACATCAAAAGTGCTGTTAATTACAGAATGTACGACATTCGTACAATTGTATCGAGATGGCCTTCCAGTGTTTAAAGGGCATTTTTGTAATTTTTCTTTCTTTGTAATACGTGAATTTCCAGTGTGTATCGAAGTCTCTTGCCCTGGACACACGATACGATTTTATTTAAAAAAAAATAACGATCGTGTAATTATCAGGCAACAATGAAATTATATTTGTATCATTGTAACTTTTATTGATATAACACGTCGTGGTCAGAGACATTCGTTCGTGACCTTTGGTCAAGGGCTTGAACATGGGCTGCATGATTTAGTTCCTTTTTTCGGACAAAGAGCAGGCGGTTCACCTTATGTTAAGTGATAACCGCCGCCCATGTGCATTTGCAACATCCGTAGGTTTGCAGATGCGTTGCCACGATTGTAATAAAATTTTCGTTCCTTTATCTGCAAATATTAATAATTTAAAACTCCAGTTTTCAAACTTCGATTTTTTTTATTCTTATTACAAAAATGTACAGGTAAACTGATGATTTTTTTAAATTGAAAAAAAAAATTAAAGAAAATTTAAAATCTAAAAAATGTCATTGATGACGGCACCGATATTTAAACTTAGGTTGCTAATAATAGGTATACAAATAGAAAACTAAAATAACAAATAGAATAATTAATAAATTCTTATTTCGTTTCATTGTCGACGTTGAATTATCTAAGCTTTACTCAATCGTATTTATTATCTATACGTCTACTAAGAGGGACGTCAACTAGTTTATCAAAAGAAAATTAATTCATTTATTATTTATTTACAAAGAAAAAGTGTTGTGTCAGGCAACTTGAGCTATCAACGTGACCATATATAGAAATACGCACTTATGATCTCACAAATGTAGTATTTTTAATGTATATTATTTGTAAACACATTCAAGGATATCCATCAAGAGCCGCCACCTTCTTTTTACAAAGACATTGACGGGTACCTGTAATATAATATTTTAAACAAATTAAAAATATTACAGCCCAATATTTTAACTCAATAAGGCAAAAGTAAGGTCAGGCAGATATTTTATAGAACTTAAAGTTATACTTCTTTTAATGCGTTTGGTAAAATTATGAAAGTTAAATTTTAATGATGCGCGCGAACATCAGTATATTGGTCTATGGCGAACATCGACTCGACATTATGGAATTGGTTGCAAAGCGAACAACTTCACGGTGTTACCATGGCAACCAATAACAACTTTTTGACTTTTAATTCCAAGTTATTTAATTAAACTTTTATCATTTGCATTTAATGTCTTTTTTACAAACGAAGAGATATAACATTTTTAGTTATTTTTCTTTTGTTACGCAAAAGAAGTGTAACTTCTAACATGCGTACATAAGTACGTTTTTTTTATGTAATAGAAAAAATATTCTTATTTTCAACCGTGATATTTGGCGGGAGCATCATGTTTTGACGTTGCTAATGGCGCCCAACTATAAATATGCTCGTTCTAATTTGTTCAACACGCCACATCGAAATTGAGAATTGCATTTAGATACTTTAGCGACTTCTAATTTGGATCGTTAGCTTTCGCGTATGATCCAAATCACCTATACGTAAACAAGCGTGGGCAAAGTTCCAAGACATTAGCATTTGCGCATGACCGCAATTAGTATTAAACTGTTTTAAATAACTTAGCGCGGATTTATCTGAATAACTTAGCGCAAATTTATATGATGAGGCTGACTGGACGGGTAGCTTGTTGTTTCAGGTCTTGCAGCGGCCATTGTACCTCGTGTTGTAGGTTCCCAAACACGATAAATATGTGTCAATTATAAGTAGGGAAGTCGGCAGTGAAAAGCATATTTCTTTTGCATACTAAAACGTTACAAACAAACGATCATGCACCCACGTAACTCCAACATAACCGCTGAATCCTCATCAGTTATTGGTGTGTTTTATTAAAGCATTCTTGTTTTTCAGAGCGGGCCTGGCAGGTGACACAAAATTTCAGCGGCTTACAACAGATCTATACAGACTTCGACGACTGGCTAAGCAGATTCAGCGACCACATTAGATCTAAGTACTTCAATTCTTTATTACGACTTTTTTATATCAGAAGTAGCAATCTAGGCTGGCTGTTCACTCGACGTTAAGTGCCAACCGCTGCCCATTGACATAACAACCCCGCAGGATTACCGAAATAATGTGGGCCCCGTTTTCCTCACTCGCCAGACGAAACGCAGAAGTACAACACTTACTTCAGGCCGGTCTTCTGGGAGGTCGTGGTACTTTCCCGCACGGACCTGGCCATTCGTGCAACAACGAAGGCTGTTGCGTGTCCCTATTATTCTCTATATAAACGCAGTAAAGTAACAGTCTATATGTCCCACTGCTGCTGGGCATAAACTCGGTGCGGAAGCTGTTGGACCAAAGTCCACTTAGCGACCCCCATTGATTGGGTAGACTTCACAAATCACCAATTTACTAGAAAATTCGCAGGCTTCCCCGAAATGTTTTCCTTAACCCCCGAACACGAGTATATCAGTAACAAAAATTGCAACTAACAGTTTTCTTTTATATTCTAGAAAATTATATTCTAGAAATGAACGTTCTAATGAAAGTCGAGAATGATAAAAAAAACAATCGTGTAAAGATTGCATTTTTTAGTTTTTTGCTAAACAAAAAGCGATACGGGCTGTCTACGGCTTGGGTCCACGTGAGACACTACAGCATATTTTAAGCAAATAAACGTTTCCACAAAACATACCATATCGCCGCGGTGATGCGCTGGAAATACCGAGGTTTTAACTGGCTTAAACCAAAAAAATCGTTTATTGGCAGATGTTTTAACTTTATGTAAGAAAATAGGTGAACATTTTTTAATTTGTTTTATGTGACAAAGTGGCAAACGAGCTTGCGGTTCACCTGATGTTAAGTGATAACCGCCGCCCACGGACATTTGCAACACCGGTTACAGATGTGTTGCCACCTTTTAATAATGCGGGCCCCGGCTACCTCACTCACCAGACGAAACGCAGAAGTGTAACACTTCTACTTTACGCCGGACTTCTGTGATGTCGTGGTACCCGGACGGACCTGCCCATTCTTGCAACAGCGAACACTGTTGCGTGGTCTTACCACCTAAAAACATTTGTTAAACATTAAACATTTTGTAAAAGCTTCCATAATGAAAAACGGCTATTATAATGCCTAATACATAGAGACAAGAATGTATGGAGGTGACTCGAGCTCTTCACTTGCAAGTCCCCTGGCCGCTGCTAATTTGAAATAAGTATTTAAGTATGCTTAAGTAATTCTTTGAGTACTTATATAATTAAAAAAGATAAAAAGGCAGCAGTTTCTTGTCGGTTCTCCTCTGGACAGGTCTAGTTTAGTGAACCGGTGGTAGCTTTTTAGACATTCAATAACAGCCTAAGCTTAACATAATGATAAATACAACATATTGAATAAATTAAAACATGTATTTTTAAATTACATCTCAGTACCTTATCACTAATACTATAAGGTAAGACATCCATAATACTATAAGGTTGAACTGCTAATGTTGGCGGTAAAAGTAAAGTCGCCAATTTTATTCAATATTCATACTTGGAGCGCTCAGAAAGCAAGTTAATACGCATTAAGTCCATTAACAATTTGTTAAACAACATTTAACTCTTACAGATCAACGAATGTCTCCAACGAAACCGAAGTTTATATAAATCAAACTGGGCTTAGAATTAAAACAAAAGGAAAAAAAGATTCTTTAATCAAAGAAGATGGAGATTTTTTAATATCACCTGCCATTTCAACGAACATAAAGATAACAATCGACTCCACAGATAATAAACAGAACAAATCAAAGAGGCTGAAATCCAGCGATGAATATGAAGAACAAAGCAACATCGATTACTTTATGTATAAAATTGTAAATACCAGAAATAAAAACTTTTACGAATACATTAAATGCAAACTTTGACATTTTATAATTTTAATTATTTTATTTCACCGTTGTCTTGTCCAGATAATTTATTATTTAATGTTCTTTATTACAACAATCTTCGCTATAATTTCAAAAGTTATATGTAAGGTCAATGATATTACATTCAAATATACAGCGTGTCTTTAACATCGCGACAATAAATGAACACACATATAGAGGATAACTTTTTAAAATTGTATTAAAGATTCATTACATAGATCACATAATAGATACATTCTTAAAACATCAATATTTAACGAGTTATCAAATTTTCCAAAACAAAGAATTTTAGAACACCCTTACAAAAAACCTTAAAACTTTAATGTAAAGTTCATTTGTATAGGTCACAAAGCATATTAATAGGTTGAATGAATTTAAAAGAGACAAAACATACTGTTAGAAGGAGAGGCTTGTAATCAGACGCTGTGGCAACGAATGAAAAAGTCTCTGAATGTATGAATCAGTCAGATGTAGTTGTTTAGGATGTTACAAATTTTGTTTCTTTTTTATTTAATTAGTTTGTTTGAAAACTATTTTTTTTAATTATGGATTTTTTAACGTTAATATTTTTTGTATGATTATTGGCGAGTAGCGTTAGACGTGTGTTCATTTATTGTCGCGGTGGTAAAGACACGCTGTATATCGCACCGAAATTGAGGCACTCAAATTACACCAATTGGTGTAATTGAATAGGCTGCTATATTTTTCCGTATCATACTTTCTATATCAACTGCCACATTCACTTACATATGCCATTAATGTAAGACGGATAATTTTTAAGCGACGCGCAGTATGTGTGTCAATTGTGTTCACATCCCGACATTCATGAACGGTGACCTGACCACAATTTTGAAACTTATTATATCATTAATAATTATAACGACGGTGGAAAATTTTGCACTGTAACCCAGAAAGAGTACGCTGCTCTCTTTGATTCATATTTTTGGAAAATCCTTCTTTTTTTATGTGATAACATGGCAAGAGAGCTGGCGGTTCACCTGATGCCCCTGATGGTAAGTGATAACCGCCGCCCATGGACATTTGCAACACCCATAAGGTTGCAAAGGCGTTACCACCTTTTAATGGGAGCCCCGACGAACAAGAAGAAACGTAGAAGCATAATACTTCTACTTTACGCCGGTCTTCGTGGTATTTCCCTGGACCGAGCTGCCCATTCGTGCATCAGCAAGCTGATGCGTGGCTAGCACTCTTGCCCGGTTCCTATATTCAACGAACGGCCGTGAGTTATATAGCTTCGTAATTTTCATAACGACTTGTAGATTAAAGGAACGCTAGTAACTCACTTTCTTGTAATGCAACGGCTCGTAAAGTAAACGCCTCGTTTTGTCTTTTATCTACACGTCGTTATGAAAGTTAAGAAAGCTATGTAACTAACGGCCGTTCGTTGAATATATGAAACGGGCATAAGAGCAGCTAGGAATGGTTATGTGCATCATGCGTTAGCGTCGCCGTGCTATGGTCTATTTTAATAACGGACCCTCTCTGGAGTCCATGGCACAATACGGCTCTTACTCCCGCTAACGAAACGAGCAAATATTTACATGCGGTTCGGCTACTGGAGGCACGAGGATCATTTCAGCGAACGCGTCATCACAGCTCGCCAGCAATGTAGCGCAAGCTCTAGCGGACATCTTCTGGTCGAGGTGGACCACGGGGACGAGTGAGCAAAACGTACCCTGCCGACGGCGAGCTTAAAGTGGTGGACGTGACTACAAGCAACGGGCACGACCTTCAACGGTCTATCAAGAACATAGTTGTCGTGACAGGGGATTACGAGTACAGTGTGGCGATAGCGGTAGAAATGTTTACGACGGACTACGTTTGTGTCGTTGTCCATGAGTATAGCGTTAATGTGAGGCGTTTGAGACATAGTAGCGAGGACTTGTCGAACCAGGACCAGGACCATGACATCATCCTGGGTAATATGCTGGACGCCCCGTCAGATAATAGCTACCGATCGAGCCGAGGTCCGGCCCCTCGGGCACCCTCGAATCGGAATGCTAAACGCGTACTGAGTGACAGCCCAAGCCGAGATCCCCTCTCGGGGACCCTTGAGCCTGATCACTCCATGGAGCGCCTGCCAAAGCGCCCTAAGAGCTTGGCGGCCTCCCAAACCGGTGATAATAATAGCATGACGGCCCGAGCCGAGGCTCCCCCGGGAGCCCTCGAGCTTAGTCACCATAACACGTAATAATAATACGCCGAGGTTCAGGCTAGGCGCCCCGTGCGCCAGGCCACCTCAAGCCCGTCGGAACTGTGAAGGCCCCTAAGGCCAACAGTGGCTCATCCAGCCCAAAAAAAATGCTGGACGGGATCAGTGTAAACACTCGGACACAACACAAAAACGCTTGAAAAGTGCGGTTCTCCTCACCATAGTCTGCCCTACAAGCCGTAAGGCACATGATGGGCACAAGGTTGTAAGATATTTACAAAATAGAGTGAGTGTATTGAGATGTGATATAGTTTATTTTCGTGGGGTTTGTAATGTTTAGAGCAGTGATTCTCAACCACTGTGCCGCGGCACTTTTGTGGGCCGCCAAATTTCAAAAGTGTGCCGCCAAATTTTGCAAATATATAATAATGTTAATATTATTAAATTATATCATTTAAAAAGAAAAATATTTTTTGGCATTAGCCAACATTAAAACTAAAAAAAGATCAAGATTGTTAAATGTAGAAGACGATATGAGAGTAGCATTGTCATTTTTACGACCAAATATAAATGAAATTATCAAAAAACATCAAGCTCAAATTTCGCATTAAAAATATTTATATTATGTAATTGTAATTAATCCCTTAATAAACGTTTAGTTATTATTGTAGTATATATTAGTTTATTTCGTATATTTAAATTTTTTGTCATAAACTATTTATGCAGTGTGTTGTACTAAGTAAATAATTTTTATCTTTTTCTTTGTGTGCCGCCAAATTTTGAAATCGTTTAATATGTGCCGCAACAAAAAAAAGGTTGAGAATCACTGGTTTAGAGAGTTATATTATGTAAAAATCACAAATTCTATCAATTTAAGAAAATAAAAGATTAATTTTTGAATAAATAAAATAAATAAGTTATCGATGACTCCGTAGCGCAATGGCAGTAGCGAAGGTATTGGCTTCGGCGACGGGGGTCGTGGGTTCGATTTCCACATGGAACAAGTATTTGTGCTACCCACAGATACTTGTTTCACATCTGTTTGTCCGCGGGAAAAACTTTTGTAATTAATGTTGGAAACGACAGTTACTTTGACAAATCATTAATTTTTAGATTCCAATTTTGATTAGAGTGAAAAAAATATTAATCTTTTGAAGTATTTTTTTTTTTATGTGAAAAGTTGCAAAACGAGCAGACGGTTCACCTGATGGTAAGTGAATACCGCCGCCCATGGACATCTGCTACACCCGAGGGTTACAGATGTGTTGACAACCTTTTGAAAATTGGGCTCTGGCTACCTCACTCACCAGACGAAACGCGAAAGTATTTGTCATACTTCCACTTTACGCTGGTCTTCTGTGAGGTCGTGGTACTTACCCGGACTTACCTGCCCATTCGTGCAACAGCCGAGGCTGCTGCGTGGCCCTACCACCGTAAAAGTAATAGTTTTGTTTTTGAAAAAATCTGTATATCGTCACTTTTCGCATGATTATTCATACAAATTTCCAAAACATTCCAGTAAACAAAAAATAGACAGGAAGAAAAGTTGATTTGTTGAAAATAAAACCGAAAATTATCATGTCAGTTAACTGGAGCCATATACGTCTCAAACTGATGGTTTAATGTTATTAGTATTTTCCTGCACGCAGTCTTACTGTCGTATTGCATTTCATAAAAATTGTGGCGAGATTTTATAAGTCAATGATGCACAAGGAGCATGCAAAGAGTAACTAGTAACATTAAGCACGAAACCAGAGTTGCGTATAAAAATCGATATATTTTTATACGCAACAATGGACAGAAATTCCATATTCTAAAATAAATATCAACGATATAATTATTATATCGATAATTGTTTTTTTTTTTTATGTGAGAATGTGGCAAACGAGCTAATGGTTTACCTAATGTTAAGTGATAATCGCCGCCCATGGACATTTGCAACACCGGTATGGTTGCTAATGCGTTGCTTTAAATAAAGAGGGCACCGGCTACCTCACTCACCAGACGAAATTAAATGCAGCACTGTCATAAAATTGTGGCGAGATTTTATAAGTCAATGATGCACAAGGAGCATTTACTAGTAACATTAAGCACGAAACCAGAGTTGCGTATAAAAATCGATATATTTTTATACGCAACAATGGACAGAAATTCCATATTCTAAAATAAATATCAACGATATAATTATTATATCGATAATTGTTTTTTTTTTTATGTGAGAATGTGGCAAACGAGCTAATGGTTTACCTAATGTTAAGTGATAATCGCCGCCCATGGACATTTGCAACACCGGTATGGTTGCTAATGCGTTGCTTTAAATAAAGAGGGCACCGGCTACCTCACTCACCAGACGAAATGCAGAAGTGTAACAAAATTTTATACTACTTATAATAATTTTATACTGAACTTTAAATAATAAATAGGTTGTATGGAGAAATCCCAAAGCCGTTTAACTTAAGGATGTCGAAAGGGAAGAAATATATCGATATTTATAAAATCGTCAAAACTGGCGCTGATAGAAAATATCAATATATTGGATAAATTTCCTAGAAACCACTTTGTCAAAAAAATTATATATCAAGTATTAAACATTTGACACCTACGAACTCTGTACTGGATACAAACTTGAAAAAATATCGTTTTTGATACGATTTTCGATATTGAATATTTTGTATCGATATATCGTCTGAAAATATCGATGTATAGAATCGAAATCCCCATTTTTCGACATCACTAAACTTTTTTTTTAATTAGTTTAACGGCCCTGGAATCGAGTCCTTTAGGCCTATCTTACATATACTTAAAAAAGCTGTAAAAGTTAAGGGCCTAGAGTAATACAATCTGTGGGGACTTCCTTACATACCACTCACTCATATCATATTACACACATTTACACATACACACATATATTTATTATAATTCTTACACAACAACTTAAACAAATATTATTCATACAAACATACAACACGGCACACTTAAATTTATTATATATATTATTTCACACCGCGGCGCGCTTAGGCTATTGTAAACAAAGAACCGGTCTGTGTGACGTCATTCGGTGGCTCGCCGTCGATCGGCTGCGACCGCGCATCTCACGTCTAACGAGTCAGTTACCTGCTATCCGCTTATGCGACGCGAAGTCTGTAACGCTCCAACGCTCTCCGGCTATTTCGTAAACCATCTGTGTTAATATTTGTAAGAACATTGCTGTTTGTGCTTTTCCTTCTGCTCTGGACTATCTTGCTTCCTTCTTTCTTTGTATTGTGGACAATAAAGTGTGTAAGTGACGTATATACTATTTCTTCCTTTCTCTTCGCTTTCATACTGCTGAATAAGCTACCACAACCCACAACTGGTGACCCCTTCAGGACACAAATTAAAGTACGATGAGCAGTAATAGTGATTCGGTGGAAACTGCGCCCGAACAGAACGTTACCACGCGTCCATGTTCAAAGCGCAAACAAAGAACGCACGTGGAAATTGCGTCAGACGTGAACCGAATGACTGTGCGAATACCGCCATTTTGGCCGGACGACCCGGAGTTATGGTTTGCACAAATTGAGGGACAATTCGCTATTTCACATATAACAGCAGATGACACGAAATTTTACTACGTGCGAGCAATTTAGAGGCACAATACTCCAAGGAGGTTAAGGATATAATCATATCCCCTCCACCGCGGAACAAGTATGAAAAACTTAAAGATGAGCTGATAAAGCGACTTTCGGCATCACGTGAACGAAAAATCCAGCAGTTATTAATGCATGAAGAGTTGGGAAACCGAAAACCATCCCAATTCTTACGTCACCTGCAGAGCTTGGCCGGACCATCAGTACCTGAAGACTTTATTCAGAGCATCTGGAGCAGTCGACTTCCAAGTAGTATACAAACGCTGATAGTTTCCCAACCATCCAGTTCATTGGAAGCTTTAGCAGACCTGGCAGATCGAGTCAGTGACATAGTATCACCAACTCTCCAAGTTGCAGCAGCTACGTGTTCTGCACCAACACCTGGTTCCAGCATGCAGTCAATGGCGAACGAAATTGCTGAGTTAAAAGCGGCCGTTAAGAATCTCACCATGCAGCTTAACAGACAGTCAAGAACACGTGACCGTTCTTGTAACCGCAATCGCAGACGTTCAACATCGCGATCGAACTCCAGCTACAGAAGGTATCCAGTATGCTGGTACCACTCAAAATTTGGATCCAAGGCGAACCGGTGCATCAAGCCATGCGACTACGGCAAGGCGGGAAACGCTCAGAGCGGTCGGTAATGGCGACCGACGACCGCTCAACCTCATCGGGTCGCCTCTTCGTCACCGACCACAACACGCAGAAAAATTTTCTAGTAGATACTGGTAGTGATGTATGTGTTTTTCCGAGATGTGAATTGCGTGAACTCCGTTCTAAAACTCCATATCAATTGACAGCAGCAAATGGTAGTATAATTAATACATACGGGTATTTACAACTTAATTTAAATTTAAATTTACGCCGTAATTTTATATGGAATTTTATTGTTGCTGATGTAAACAAAGCTATAATAGGCGTAGACTTCCTTAGCCATTATAATCTTATTATTGATGTAAAAAATAAACGCCTAATTGATAAATTTAACTTCTATGTCAACTATTGCTTTTAAAGATAAACAATGTAAAAATGTATTTTCTGTTAAAGTACCTATTGGCGACACACAGTACCATTCTATTCTTTCTAAATACCCGGAAATCACTCGACCTGCTGGCACACCACGCACACCTGCACACAACACCGTACACTACATCAACACTACACCTGGACCCCCAGTATCATGTTCCCCTCGCAGGTTGGCTCCTGACAGACTGGTGATAGCAAAGCGAGAATTTGATCTGATGCTGGAAATTGGGACGGCGCGTCCTTCTGACAGCCCCTGGGCCTCTCCTTTGCACTTAGTCCCGAAAAAGGACAACGGTTGGAGACCTTGCGGAGACTACAGGCAGCTCAACGCGCGCACCATCCCAGATAAGTATCCGATCAAACACATCCATGATTTTGCACATAGCATATCTGGATGTACTGTCTTCTCCACGATTGACCTGGTTAAGGCCTATAACCAGATCCCCGTTCACAAGGACGACATTCAGAAAACGGCGATCACCACACCGTTTGGTTTGTATGAGTTCCCGTTCATGACCTTCGGGCTCCGGAACTCGGGCCAAACTTTCCAGAGATTCGTGGACGAGATGACCAGAGGACTGGACTTCTGTTACTGTTATCTGGACGACTTTTTAGTTTTTTCTAGAAGCAGGAAGGAGCACGAACAACACCTCGATGTACTGTTCGAGCGTATGAAGCAGTATGGTGTCCTCATCAACACATCTAAATGCGTATTTGGCGCATCTGAGGTACAGTTCCTAGGATACTATATTTCTCCTGCAGGTACTAAGCCACTTCAGTCAAAAGTGCAAGCCATTAAAGACTTTCCTAAGCCTCAAACAGTAAAGGCACTTAGGCGATTTTTGGGAATGCTTAATTTCTATAGGAGGTTCATACCCAACGCCGCAAAAATCCAAGCACCTTTAAATGCCCTATTAACTGGTTCGGTGAAAGCTTCTCACCCAGTTGACCTTACGGGTGAAGCTCTTCTAGCTTTTGAAAGATCCAAAGACAGTCTTTGTAATGCCGCCTTATTAGCACATCCCGATTGTCAAGCCAAATTAGCGCTAGTGACAGATGCGTCGGACTTGGCATTGGGTGCTGTGCTGCAGCAGTACAAGGACGATGTCTGGCAGCCATTAGCTTTCTTTCTTCTCGCGGAAGCTGAGCCCTTCCCAACAGAAGTACTCGCCTTACGATCGCGAGTTACTCGCTGTTTACGAAGGGATCAAATATTTCCGCCACATGCTCGAAGCTCGACACTTCACTGTTTATACTGACCACAAGCCGTTGTGTTATGCCTTTCACTCTAGGAAGAATAACTGTTCGCCTCGTCAGTATAGACACCTGGATTTTGTGTCTCAATTTACGAGCGATATTCGTCACATATCTGGCAAGGACAACGTTGTTGCTGACACTCTGTCACGCGTAGAGGAAATACAGAGTCCAGTCGACGTGGTAGTTCTTGCTAAAGCTCAGTCGCAAGATTCTGAGCTAACGCAACTTTTGAGCGAGGAATCATCACTTCGCATTACTAAAATTAAAGATCCTAGTGCAAAAGTAGACATTTTTTGCGATACAAGTACTGGTACGCCTAGACCGTTTGTTCCCAAGCACTTACGTAAAACAGTTTTTGACAGCCTCCATTGCTTGAGCCACCCAGGCGCAAATGCTTCTGCGAAGTTAGTAGCACAGCGATTCGTTTGGCCAGGCATCCGAAAGGACTGTCGCGAATGGTCCCGTACGTGTTTAGCTTGCCAGCGCTCCAAAGTGAATCGTCATGTGTCAGCTCCTCTGGGCACATTCGATTTACCCCGAGCCAGATTTACTTTTGTGCATATTGATCTGATTGGACCACTTCCATATTCTAACGGTTTTCGTTATTGTTTAACGGCAATCGATCGTTTTACAAGATGGGTAGAAGCCATCCCCATTGAGGATATCACTGCCGAGACAGTAAGTAAGGCCCTATTGTCAGGTTGGATATCTAGATTTGGTTGTCCAAGTGACATAGTTACAGACCGTGGCCGACAATTTGAGTCCGAACTATTTAAATATCTTTCGAGAATAGCCGGATTCAAACATCATAGGACGACAGCATACCACCCTGCATCCAACGGTCTAGTGGAACGATTTCATCGACAGCTGAAAACCGCTATCACATGTCACGCAGACGGTAATTGGACGGAATCGTTACCGCTTGTCTTGTTAGGCATACGAAGCTCGTTCAAAGCCGATCTACAGTGCTCTTCAGCAGAACTCGTCTACGGCGAGCCTTTGAGACTCCCAGGTGAGTTCTTTAACAGCACAACGGCAACAACAACAGATATCACCGACTTCACAGCTCGAATTCGCTCAGTGTGCAATAAGTTACAACCCTGTCCTGCCTCTCGACATAGCAAAGGTAAAATTTTTGTATATAAAGATTTAGCCACCTCTAGCCATGTCTACGTAAGGGACGACACACTGAAAAGCGCCTTCCATCCTGCGTACTCTGGTCCTCACGAGGTAATTCAAAGGGGTGACAAAGTTTTTAAAATCTGCATTAAAGGTAAACAGGTGTCAGTATCCATAGACCGTCTTAAACCAGCTTATATACTGAGCACCGATACACCATGTGCTATCCCTCCTGATCACAATTCCAAATTAATGGATGGGTCTTCGGAACAACGGAACCGAACCACACGATCTGGTAGAAATGTCCGCTTTCCGGATATATATCGACCGTAGACTCGGTCTCTGGGGGGGAGTGATGTGGGGACTTCCTTACATACCACTCACTCATATCATATTACACACATTTACACATACACACATATATTTATTATAATTCTTACACAACAACTTAAACAAATATTATTCATACAAACATACAACACGGCACACTTAAATTTATTATATATATTATTTCACACCGCGGCGCGCTTAGGCTATTGTAAACAAAGAACCGGTCTGTGTGACGTCATTCGGTGGCTCGGCCGTCGATCGGCTGCGACCGCGCATCTCACGTCTAACGAGTCAGTTACCTGCTATCCGCTTATGCGACGCGAAGTCTGTAACGCTCCAACGCTCTCCGGCTATTTCGTAAACCATCTGTGTTAATATTTGTAAGAACATTGCTGTTTGTGCTTTTCCTTCTGCTCTGGACTATCTTGCTTCCTTCTTTCTTTGTATTGTGGACAATAAAGTGTGTAAGTGACGTATATACTATTTCTTCCTTTCTCTTCGCTTTCATACTGCTGAATAAGCTACCACAACCCACAAATCTACCCAATGATATTCATTTATTAACCTAGCGACATCTAGTACGGTTTTTCGTTACCAAAAATGCGTAATTGAACTATGGAAAGTAGAATTAAAAGTGTCGGTAGCGTAGGATAAATTTTAAGTCCAATATACACTGATCAAGTGTTATATAAAGTACAGTAGTAAAACCGTTGGACAGTGCAACTAGATTCAAATAGAATCGTTTTCTATATTTTGATGCACGTGCACCCCTCACGCGGCTGCTCAGTCCCCGCGGGGCACTTGAATCGTCACTTGCCGTAGTGCAGGGATGGCGAACCAATGGCACGCGTGCCATTGCTGGCACGCGACGAAATAATTTCGGCACGTCACTGATTACGAGTTTAAAGAAAAAAGTATAAATTATGATTATGATGTAGCATAATACCTATGAATCTTTGAAAAGCAAACGCGCGCGAGCGTTCGGGTCCGGTGCGCGGGGTGGAGACGGGGCGTAGTTGCTATGCTAGCGCGGAGAATGCGGCGGTGGCGCGGGGCGCGGGAACGCAGTGCGGGGGCTTGACTTGAGTAAATAAAAACAAACGAGGTGCAGTGCCCGCGCAAATTGTTTGTTTACGCAAAAAATAGTTGAATTTCATTGTGAAAGTGAACTTTAAAGTTTATTTAAGTTATTATTTGCTGTAATTTAATATGGCTAGTTCAGCAAAGAAACTAAAAGTGCAAAATAGCAAGGATACTAGAGAATTTCAGACTTGGTGGACTGATAAATTCGGCGTGATTAATAAAGGTGACAAAGCAGTGTGTGTTTTATGTTCTGGCACCATGGTATGTAGAACATCTTCCGTTAAACGGCATTTTGAAACAAATCACAAATCAATTTGTCAAAAAAGCGAAGCAGAGCAAAAGGAATTAATTGCGAGTGCTTTAAAGACAGAAACAAACAGTCAACATCAATAAATAAATTTGTTGCCAAAAATTGTCATACAAGTGCGGCAAGTTACACGGCTGCAAATGTCATTACTCGGCATAGTAAACCCTTTCAAGAAGGCGAGTTTTTAAAGGAAGCCTGGTTAGCATGCGCGCCTTCTCTTTTCGAGAATAAAAATAAGATAATTCAGCACATCAAAGATACTCCTTTGTCCAGAAACACAATAAAGGAAAGAATCTTAAAATTGGCTGAAAATGTTACAGAGCAACAAAAGCTTGACATTCACTCTGCTTCATTTATATCGCTATGCCTCGACGAAAGCACTGACGTCACAAAATCTGCACGTTTAGCTGTTTTTGCTCGATACTGCGTAGGAAACGTCATTGGAGGAATTAATTGCTATAAAATCGTTACCAACAACTACAAAGGGCGCAGATATTTGTACGGCAGTTAAAAATTCGATAGTTGAAAAAGAAATTGATATAAAAAAAATTGTTTCTGTAACAACTGATGGTGCTCCGAGTATGGTGTGTAAAAAAAATAGTTTCATAAGTTTATTTCAAACTGAAGTAGGACATTCGATTCTTGAATTCCACTGCATCATTCACCAACAAGCCTTATGCGCTAAGAGCGGTTTAACATCTCTTGATAATGTTATGGCAGTAGTTACGAAAATAGTCAACCTCATCTCTGCTCAGGCTTTAAACAAGCGAAAGTTCGACGCTTTGTTGGATGAAGTCAACTCCGTGTATAATGGCTTACTGATGTATAATAATGTTCGGTGGCTGAGTCGTGGGTCTGTACTTGAAAGATTTGTTGAATGCTTGGAAGAAATCAGACAGTTTCTGCAAAATGAGGGAAAAATTGAACAATACCCACAGCTTTTGGACGTCATGTGGCTTTCAAAATTGATGTTTTTTACAGACATATGCCAACACTTAAATACGTTAAATGTGAAGCTTCAAGGCACAAACAAAACAATAATCGTCATGATCGATCTCATTCGCGCCTTTGAGGCTAAACTACAAGTTTTCAGAAACGATATTATCGCAAAAAACTACAAGTATTTTCCATACTTGAAAAAATATATATCAATGAATCTGATATACATGAGACAACAAATGCAGAAAATATTGCTGAGGAATTTATCTCTGTGATTGATTCTTCAATTAAGGAATTTTCAACAAGATTTTCTCAGTTCAAAGAATTATCCGAAACGGTCAAGTTTATTATGTACCAAGATGTAACGACCTTTCATACACTGAACTTCTCCCAGTTCGATTGGTTGGAAATTGAAGATTTTGAAATGCAGCTGATTGATTTCCAATCTAGTTCAATTTGGATACAAAAATTCATAGACATGAGAAAAGAATTAGAGTTAATTGAAACAGAAAGATTGACCAGTAATATAAGTAAAGATGCCAATAATAAAATTTTAGAAACCTGGAATGCGTTGCCAGAAACATTTAATTGTTTAAAGAAGCTGGCTCATGCTATTCTAACTGTATTTTCATCAACATATGCCTGCGAGTCATTGTTTTCAGAGATGAATAACATCAAAGACTCTGTTAGAAATCGACTGACTGATGAATCAAGTTCAGCATGCATTCTGCTAAAAGTAACATCGTACAACCCCAATATAAGTCAATTATCGTCCAATCTGCAACAACAGAAGTCGCACTAATTTTTAATTGCTCTTGTAATTGTATTTTTGGTAAATATAGACCTTTGAGTTGATATTGTTTTTTTACATTATTTTTCCACTGATCACAAAGTCAAGAATATTTGATGGCACGGCTGCGACGTCATTAAATATTATTCCAGAAAATTGGCACGTATACGCATAAAGGTTCGCCATCCCTGCCGTAGTGTATACAGTCAAATTAGTACAGTTATGGAGCAATGGAGCACTAGGTGCAATTATGTTGCAACATGCAACATAATTGCATGTATTGCTCCATTTCAACACAGAAATGCCTTTGTACTTTTTGTAGTGTAAACAGCCACTTGTCCGGTGCCCGCCACTGTCCTTGACCAATGTAAATCGGGCTTTAAAGAAAGCGCCAAAGCAATGAAAATCTTTTATCACATTTTTGGAATTACGGTAAAAATATTGGACGTCTAAAGAAATCATAAAATTTTTTATAAAATTCAATTTCTTTTTTTTAAACACCTTTATAAGACCAAAATTTTTGCCGAAATATGCTTCACCCTCCATTTATTCCATTCATGTGGATATTAAGACAGAAAATCTTTGCGTTATTTATTATTTACAATTTTTTATAACATTTGACATTTATTAGAAGATTTTAGAGGGTTTTGACTTTGAGGGTTTTGAAGTTTTAGATAGGGACAAATATTTTCGAGAATTGGTAACACTAAAAAAAATGTTTACTAACAATAAAAGTTAAAACTTTAAAATTATCAATTTATCATTAATTCTTAACTTATTAATATTTCTAATTCATAAGAAAGTTACTTTTACTACTCCAATTATTATAAAACCTTCCCATAACATTAGATGTGTGATTATCGCAGAAAAGATTACTATTTTACCATATCATTAACTAATACACAATCTAAACGATAGGCGTAAAATTAAACGTCCTTAATTCATAATATCTATTTAATATTTATCTGTTCTATGTTTAAAAAACTAGTCAAAGAGTACTTTTATATATCTGAAACTAGTGTAAACTATGTGTAGGTAGATTGTAGTTATTAAGTGTGACTTACAATATAATATACGTGTATACAGCTCCAGAGCACTGCTTTTCAAATTATAAATGCATATTTATTATAAATTTTAATGAAAATGAAAAAGGTTTTGAAAGAGTGGTTTTTAAAAGCTCCATGGGGAAAAATTGCTCGTAAGTACTTTGCTAGCTTTCTTGAGAATATTAAAAAAAAGAATCTTCCATAATGATTTTAATTCCACCCGTTTATATGCCCTGTGAATTGATAGATCAGTAATCATTAAGGAAAATGTGTGCCCTCCCTAATAAATGAATGATTATATGGTTGAATAATACATCAACTATATCATACATAAATGTAAACTTCAGTAATATGTATGTCTTATTATGTTTTGTGTTTGTTTGTTGTGATTCACTTAATATTGCCGAGAACAAAATGGAATAATATTCTATTTTAACCAAAAATCATATAAATCCTTTAAAATTACACTTCCATATATTATCTCAATTTGATGCCATTATTAATTATAGTTTTGTTAATTAAAATAAATAACGTCTTTCAGTTATATCATGGGGCGATCCAAATGGGGAACCTGTTCTCCTTGTGCATGGAAGGCAGGACAGTGTAAGCACATTCATTCCCCTTCTAGAACTTTTGCCAGATACATACCACTATGTGGCTATGGACATACCTGGTAATGGTCTGTCAGATCCATTACCTATAGGTAAGTTGCAAAGTTCTTTTTCACAAATCTAAATTATTTTTTTTTTTATATTAAGCTTTTACTTACTTACCGTAAATTTTTATTTAAGAATCTATCAACCTAACTAGTGGTTCACCTGGTACTGATTACTGTCCACTATTTGCATTGCATTGCTAAACTTTAGGAGAATTCTACTTCATGCCAGTATTCTGTGAAACCACAGTACTTATTATATCATTCCCGCTGGTCCATTTGCTTCACTAGTAACTTCTTTAAGAATTTATATTACTGTTTAATGATTAATATAATCGTAATATAGTTGATTGCAGAACTCTTCTTACTTGGTCAATGGAGTTTTAATTGTTCACATTTATGTGGAATATGAGGTCAATCTGCCGTAAGTAAGATTGACATGACAACAGTCTGCTTTGACTGTGAAATTGAAAATCATGAAGAAATTTTTTTTTTGGAAAATTGTCAAATCAGGGTTTGAGAAGTTATTGAGGATGTTGGCCTATCTGTTGACTTGTGCAATGCAAATTTATCGAATGTTTTGGGCATGAGAGATGATTCAGTGAACTTTGTTTCTAAACTGCTTAATTTTGGCAAATAGAATCTTTTTTTTAAACTTGATGTTATGTGATGACCGCCGCCCATAAACATTTGCAACTCCCGTAGGGTTGTACGCGTCACCTTTAATAAAAGTGGACTCGGGCTACCTCATTCACTAGACGAAACGCACAGAATGCAACAATACACTTGTAGAAATGTTACAAATTATGCGTTTCGGTTTCTACTTTATGTCAGTCTTCTGTACGGTTGTGGAAGTTAACCCGATGGACCTGCCCATTCGTGCAACAATGGTGCATGGTTCTATCACAGTCAAACCTTTGAGTCAACTGAGTTATATCTAGTCCAATTTGATAACCAAAGCCCAATTGTCCCAATGGTTGTATTGTCTTAAAATTCACTACACAATTATTTCTAAGCATGCAATTTGCTTATGACATTTCAATTAAAAAGTAGTATTGATTCACATTACACGCAAGCATTGCATTACATTAAAAATTACATACTACACAAGGAAAACTGTTAAATATATGCAGAATCATATCCCTGACAACTTTTGGCCTCTACTGTTTACTGTATCATATTTCAAGAAGCATTTTAAACTTTTCAGGTTTGAAGCTGACGAGAATCTTCCCGGTGGTGGTGATAGAAATGGTTGCAGAGCATATGAATTGGAGGGAGTTCATCTACATTGCGCACTCTATGGGGACAGAACTAGGTAAAAAATACACTTGATAAATTTCCATAGGTGCTACATGGACCAACTTCAAGAAGTGTTGAAATTTTTATGTAAACAAATTTCATTATACTCAATCAACCCACGACATTGTTGCCATGGCAGCGTTGATGGAAGAGTTTGCCAAAATTCTAGAATGCTTCAATCTGTTTTAACAACAGGTGGCACTAATGAATTTGGCGAGTGTTTGTGGAGAGTTCGGCCTTCGAAATTGTTGATGAGTATGTCTGAATAGGACAAGTAGTCCAGCTAGGTAGGTCCGATTTCGAGAAATATCACTCTCCACATCCATCGCTTCGGCAGCATCTTTGAGTCCAGAAATCCACAAAGTCTGATGATCTTGAACAATGCATGTTGCCAGTTATGACTACCTGCCGGCACCGAGACGTGGTCTTTAACTATGGGCCTCCTGAAGAGACTCAGGCTCATTGGGCAATGGAAAGGGCCATGATCGGAGTTTCTTTGTGAAATCGAATCAGGAATGAGGATATCTGCAGACAAACTAAAGCTATCGTCATAGTCTCTGGGTCTGCGAGCTGAAGAGGAAATGGGCTAGACACGTAGGTCGGAAACCGAGTGTTGAAAACCGCAGCGTGGTGATCCTGACCAAGGTTGAAGGACCTCGCTGGATGCACGCTGCTTCGGACCGATATTTTTTTATATGAGAGGGTGGCAAGTGAGCTGGTGGTTCACCTGATGTTAAGTGATAACCGCCGCCCTTGGACATCTGCAAATCCGTAGGGTTGCAGATGCTTTGCCACCTTTAAAAAAAGTGGGCCCCGGCTACCCCAATCACCGGACATAACGCAAAAGTGCATCACTTCTACTACATGCTGCGGTCGCGTGTTGTCGCGGTACTTACCCGGACGGACCTGCCCATTCGTGCAACGGCCGAAGCAGTTATGTAGTCTAAGTGGACATCCCTAGGCCTCCTATGTTTAGCCCGACATAGGCCTCCTATGTTTAGCACTGGACACTGAAATGATGATGTTGTCGACTGCAGCAAACTGAATTCAAATCCCAGTGCCAGCACCGATTAAATTGTTAATTTTATGTGCTTGCTTGCACATGCTCAGCAGTGAAAGGAAACATGGTGAGGACACCTGCATATTTAATAAATAATTGTAAAAAATATTCAAAGATATGTGAAGTCTGCCAATCCGCAGTGGGGTGGTGTGACAGACTATGCCCTAATACCCTCTGCACAGAGGAGGCCTTTGCCCAGCAGTGGGACATTTATGTCTACAAATGTCTTTTTACTTTACAAGTAAAAGTATTTTTACTTTATTTTTATTATTGTGCTCTATCTAGCCAAGTTAAGCAGCCAACATCTGGTTCCAATTTTAAGGTGGCGAAAATTTTTCGACAATATAGTGAACTTTGGTTATACAAAATCTGGTTTGGTTGGACATGGTCGAACCATGACTTTTTATTATATATTATCAGGGTTAAAATTTAGCACAAACTATTGTATGCCGTTAACACCTTATGATTGTCAGCTGAATAGATTTTCCTGTGAATTAAAAAAAATATTAATCTACTACATACCCAAGCCAATGACTCAGGTTTTTCCATTAGCAGGAACATCTATGAACTCCTCACAATATTTACTTACATAACTCACTTATGCGTTTTGGCTTCCATATTGTTTTTGACGTCCTGTACAATATTGACTTCCCGACTCTTTATTTGTATTTTGACTTTAATTTTTTTTTATGTGAGAATGTGGCATGCGAGATGGCGGTTCACCTGATGTTCACATAACCACCGCCCATTGAAATTTGCAACACCCTAAGAGTTGCAGATACGTTGCCACCTTTGAATAGAGTGCGCCCCGCTACTTGAACCACCAGACGAAACGCAGAAGTATGACACTTTCACTTGGCGCCGGTCTTCTGTGAGGTCGTTGTACTTACCCGGATGGACCTTTTTTATGTGAGAAGGTGGCAAACGAGCTGGCGGTTCACCTGATTTAAATGAAAACCGCCTGCCCATGGACATTTGCAGATGCGTTGCCACCTCTTAATAATGTGGGCCCCGGCTACTTCACTCACCAGACGAAACGCAGAAGTGCAACACTTCTACTTTACGCCGGTCTTCTGCGAGGTTAAGTACCACACCCGGACGGGCCTGCCCGTTCGTGCAACAGCGTGGACTGTAGCGTGGCCCTACCACAGTCAAATTGTTACTTATTTCTTTCTACTGCGTAAATTAAAACAGTTATTTGACTAATTTCAGGTTTATTTTATAACGCGGTTTATCCGGGCAATTTGAAAAGGTGCATTTATCTGGATGGAGCGCCGGCGATACAGAGACTACTGATGACCGACTACGCCGCTTACTACAAAACATTTTACTTGGACTATTATGATAATTATGACAGGTAAATGATAGTGATAATTATGAATCCTATGTGACCAGCCCCATATTTATTATATATTTGAAGTTATACTTCTTCTGGATGCAGGTGGCTCAGGATAGTGCTTCGTGGCGGTCTATGGCTATGGGGGAGGCCTATGTTCCGCAGTGGACTAAAACAGGTTTTTTTATGTGTGAAAGTGGCAAACGAGCTGGCGGCTCACATGATGTTAATTGATAACCGCCTCCCATGAACATTTGCAACACCTTCAGGGTTGCGAATGCTTTGCCACCCTTAAAAGAATGGGCCCCGTCCACCTCACCAGACGAAACGCAGAACTGCTACTTACACTTCCACTTTACGCTGGTCTTCTGTGAGGTCGTGGTAATTACCCGGACGGACCTGCCCATTCGTGCAACAGTGAAAACTGCTGGTGATAATGATGGCTATACCTTTTTGGCGCGTTTATAATATTAATTATGCGAGTAAATTTTTTTACGATGCGCGCGCACACCGCACCCCAAAAAGCGACATAATAAAGTTGGTTGCTAAGCGACCACCTTCCTAGTATTGCCATGGCAACCGATAACAACTTTTTGACATATACCTATAATTGTAAGTTATTCAATTAAGCCGTTACCAATTGACGACCCGATTGGTGTAGTGGGTAGTGACCCTGCCTCTCGCGCCGGACGGTGTGGGTTCGATTCCCGCTGCGGGAAAGATATTGTGTGAAGAACATAGTGTTATTCGGGTGTCTGGGTGTTTATGTATTGATACTGTGTATTTATTTACAAAAGAATAGTACGTTTTAAGTATGTTTATCAGTTATCTAGTGCCCATACAAGCGTTGCTTAGTTTGTGACTAAAAACGTTGTGTAAAAATGTGTCCGAAAATATATATTTATGTAATTATGTTCAGCAGTGGACTCAAATAGGCTGAAATGATGATGATGATGATACTTTATTTGGCGCGTTTGTAAAAAATCAATCGAGTAAATTTATTTACGATGCGCGCGCACACCCAACCCAAAAAGCGACATGTTGAAGTTGGTTGCTAAGCAACCAACTTTTAGTATTACCATGGCAACCGATAACAACTTTTTGACATTCATCAATAATTCCAAGTTATTTGATTAAACCGTTACCAATAACATTTAATGTATGTGTTTCTCACGAACAAATAATACTGGCATAGGGGATAAAATATTTACTTACTTTTCTTTGGTTACGCTAAGGAAGTGTCCGAGTCGATCTCGCGCACGAAGGGTTCCGTAACATTATCTATAAGAACGGCAAAAAAATCATTTCTGTTGTATGGCAGCCCCACTTTTTATCTAATTAATATTTTTTTATTATGTTTTTTTTTTAATATTTGTCGTTATAGCGGCAACAGAAATACATAATCTGTGAATATTTCAGTTGTCTAACTATCACGATTCATGAGATACAGACTGGTGACGGACGGACAGACAAACAAACAGCGGAGTCTTAGTAATGGGTACGGAACCCTAAAAAGTGGGGCATTCACTCGGATGAACCGAGAATTTATAACACTACCACTTCACCTTGTTTCACCTATCTTGAGCTGAGAGCTTACACTGTGAAATAAAACACAACCTGGTTTACTGATAGACGATGCCTTTGGTTATTCAATTGGCCCTTTGTTGCTTCTTTTATATGAAGTATACGCAATAAACTTTGAGTGCGTGTTGTGCTTTACACACGGTTAAAGTAAAACTAGAATAGATTTTTTTTTAATAATTCGATTTAAAATGATAAAATTCATGGAAGAAAGGGGGCAAACAAGCAGAAGACTCACCTGATGGTAAGAGGGAATACAAATGCGTTGCCGGCCTTTTAGGAAAGAGTATGCTCGCTTATTGATGGTTCCCAGGTCGTGACGGTTGGGAAATACCGCCGGCTTAGCTGGTTCCTCACAGTGGTTTAGCGAGAAAGTAAATGCCTGGAGAATTTTATTATAAATGTATTAATTAATAATTATTTTTCATTTTAAATTCTATAATTCAGGTACAGCGTAAGCGGATGCTGTATAAACGCGTCATCGCCGTTGCATTGTCTTCGTCCAAAGCATTCGGTTAGCCCACAGTCGCGCCTTAGGAAGTTTTACATCAATTATTAAAAATATGGCCAAATGCGAGTGGGACTCGCGCACGAAGGATACAGTACCATTCATTATCTATAAAAACGGCAAAAAATAATAATGTCTGTTGTATGGGAGTCCCACTTAAAAATTTTTTAATTCTGTTATTTTAGTATTTGTTGTTAGAAAACGTGGTTTCTTGGATCAAAATAAATATGCAATTCTGATTCCATGATTGGTTTATTCTGTTTAGTTTACATTATTTAATACTTTATACCGGGTTTCACAAGATACTATTTAATTACAATAATCAACTTAATCATATTCAAAACACAACTACACCATCTTGTCTATTTACACAGAGTCACAGAGTAGAGAGTTTTGTCTACTCAGTCACAGAGCAACTAAAATAATAGTAATGTTACAAGGTACAAAATCATATTCTCAACAGTTGTTATAGTGGCAACAGAAAGATATCATCTGTGAAAATTACAACTGTCTAACTATCACAGTTGATGAGATACAGCCGGGTGAAAGACAGACAGACAGCTGAGTCTTAGTAATAGGGTCCCGTTTTACCCTTTGGGTACGGAACCCTGAAAATAACAATGGCGAGGTCTCCATATAAAGGATTTCTTTTTTCATTCGCAGCATAAACACAGACGATCGCGTGTACAGCAGACGGGATGCAGTCAGAGCTGTCATGAAAGCTAGAAGCCTAACCTCTGATCAGGCGGAACTAATCTTGACTAGGAATTTGAAAAAAATCGGCGACGACAAGTACAAGTGAGTGTCAGAATTTATATATTTTACTAGCGACGCGCCCCGGCTTCGCACGGGTGCAATTTGTTATACATATAAACCTTCCTCTTGAATCACTCTATCTAGTAAAAAAACTGCATCAGTATCCGTTGCGTAGTTTTAAAGATCTAAGCATACATAGGGACAGACAGACGGCGGGATGACTTTGTTTTATACTATGCAGTGATTTCTAGCTGACCCGGCAAACGTTGTTTTGCCATATAAATTATTTGTAGGGTAGAAAAAACGGAGTACATTGTGAATTTCCCTTCCAACCGCGAATATCCACTTTAAACAATAATTTGAAATGAATTTACAGAATAAATACAGAAATAACATCTATTAAATAGATCAGCACCGAAATATATCGAAACCTATGATATCGTCGTATCATAGCTAAAACCGTGTATAGGATGAAATTTATGAGTCAGTATTATAACTGAATGTATTATTTCTTACACAAATTATAAAGATATTGTCACTCATGATTGCGTGTTTTAAAAATATGTTAAAGTCAATTATTAATTAATTAGATTTTTATATTACTTCAATTTCTATTTTTTATAATTTTATATATATTTTATAATTTTATCAGGTAATGTTTTAATTTTACCTTAATAGTATAAAAAAATCGTGATTTTTAAATTCAGTAAGTTTTTTGAATTTAGTCAATTTTAGTGGGTTTTCGAATTTATTTAGGAGTAAATAAATTCGAAACATATAAACATAATAAATAAATTTGAGGAATCTAAATAATTATTGAAAACATTTTTTTTTTTTAATTCAAGGTTGATAGGGGACCGTAAAATATCTAGATATTAAAATACATAGTTTCGAAATCTGATATTTGAAATCGAATCGAAATCTGATTCAGATACGGTACTCAGAAAAAGCGATACGACCCATCTCTATGATTCAGAATTTCAGATACGATTCTCGGAAAAAGCCATGACTTTAGAGACCTACTTGAACGAATGACGACTCGCATCGTTAGTAAATTCCCAGAATCATGCGTAAATGGTAGAAGTGGGCGATACAAATCGTATCAGATATGAAAACTAGATATTAGTACAATATCCGAATATCGCTTACTGGCTCGTTCAATATCTATGTATTTTACAATATCTGATATTTCCGAAATCTGATGTACCGTGCTCGCTCGCTATACCGACACGAATCGCGATATCATACGCGTTTGCCACAATATCTGATTTTTAAACAGATTTCGAGAGACAAAGCGCGTGAGATACAAATACTCACTAGTTAGAGCGGGACGGCAAGCAATGCACGATATCAGATATCGAGCGACAAAGCGCGTGAGATACAAATACTCACTAGTTAGAGCGGGACGGCAAGCAATGCACGATATCAGATATCGAGCGACAAAGCGCGTGAGATACAAATACGTCACTAGTTAGAGCGGGACGGCAAGCAATGCACGATATCAGATATCGAGCGACAAAGCGCGTGAGATACAAATACTCACTAGTTAGAGCGGGACGGCAAGCAATGCACGATATCAGATATCGAGCGACAAAGCGCGTGAGATACAAATACTCACTAGTTAGAGCGGGACGGCAAGCATATCACGATATCTGATTTTTAAACAGATTTTGAGCGACAAACCGCGTGAGATACAAATATTACACTAGTTAGAGCAGTACGGCAAGCAAGGCACAATATCAGATTTTTAAACAGATATTATGAATAAGTTAAGTAATTTTGAATCTTAACACCATGCAAATAAGATCCGTTTTAATTAAATACTAATCATGGTATCAAAGATTACTACAACGATATTATTATATTTCTATTGTTTTGTTTAGCCTTGAGCCGTAACGGGCGACAAAGCGCGCAGTTAAGTAATTTTGAATCTTAACAGCATGGAAAAAAATCTCTGTTGCATTTAAATACGAATTACGGTATTAACGATGTCTATAAATTTTGTTTAGTCTTGAGCTGGATTGCATTGGTACCAAGCACGTAATAGTAAGGGATGCCAACTTACTACTTAAGAATTTTCTGCCTAAATTAAGGAAGAAAAATATAAATGGAAATTTTTTAGGAGGTAAATTTTATGTGAATATTTTTATTAGTTAAATTTTATTCATATTTTTGGAAAAAAATAAAAGTACATAAAAAGAAAAATATAATTTAATAGTAATAGTAGACCAAGGCTTATGTGCTTTGTGTGTATATTTTAAATTCTTCCGCCCTAAGTAATAATACTGAATGTATTATTTCTTACACAAATTATAAAGATATTGTCACACATGATTGCGTGTGTTAAAAATATGTTAAAGTCAATTATTAAGCGATATATAAGATGTTAAAATAAATCATTTTTATATTACTTCAATTTCTATTTTTAATGAAATTTTTAATTTTATCAGGTAATGTTTTAATTTTACCTTAATAGTATAAAAAAATCGTGATTTTAAATTCAGTAAGTTTTTTGAATTTAGTCAATTTTAGTGGGTTTTCGAATTCATTTAGAAGTATTCTTTTTGAACAGTTGGTATCACTGGTAATAGCTTTTGTTATGTATAGGTATAATGATCGTCGAACAAGACTTTCGACGATTAAAGTCAAACAGCTTACGTTCGTAAACGTGAATTTAAACCCGGAGGAATCTAAATAATTATTAACCCACACATAATTGTAAATAAGTTAAGTTTTAAATATCAGGAAAATTATGTAGGTACATAAAATGAATCAACTTTTAAATACTCTTTTTTTTTTTTTTTTTTTTTTTTTTTTTTTTTAGAATTCAAGGTGGATACGGGACCGTAAAATATCTAGATATTAAAATACATAGTTTCGAAATCTGATATTTGAAATCGAAATCTGATTCAGATACGGTACTCACTAAAAGCGATACGACCCATCTCTAGTAAATGGCATTTCGTTTCCTTAATGAGAGTAGTTACTAATTATAAGACCTTATTATCATTGAAGGTCTCGCAAAAATAGAATGAGTCAGGTCCGACTCGGGTAAGGCCAATCAAAAAGACTGTAGGAGCCTAATCAACACGCGAAAGTAAAACGATAGCGTGCTTCAAACTATGTACAGCGCCATCTAGTTATTGGAAAAAACAATTGGCGCAGTCCAAGATGTTGGCTTCGGCGTCGGGGTCGTGGGTTCAACTCACACGGGACAACTGTTTGTGTTAAAGATTAAATTATTGTAACGAATATATTAATGAGAACATAATTGACATTTATTAATTATCTCACGAAATTTGGAAGTGCAGTGCAGTATTCATAGTTTATGAATTTATCAGAGCTTAGATAACTTGAGACCTTGAGAGTAAATATATAGACAGGGTGATTTTATAGACGACAGACATATTAACAGAGCATATGAAAAATTCGATTCTAAATCTGAATCTGGTACGTACTTGGTACCTAATATTTTTTTTTCAAAAATTATTTTTAATTTTTTCAAATATTTCTAATATATATACTATATATATATACCATATTGTATAGGTGTCCCTATTAGAAATTTCTGGTACGGTCTCAATACAATAACCTAGCCGCTGATCTCACTGTGCCGTTGCTGTTCGATGTTTGACGACCACTCTTAACAGGCTAAACAAACAATGTTTGAATTGATATTTTTCTAAAAATTTCTTGTCAAAATTAAATATTAATATTTTTTTGGTCGGTGAAGTATTGCTCGGACTTTCAATATTCTACATATTATTTTCTAGAATATCCGTAAGGAATTTTTTTTTTAAATAAAATTTATCAAACAAAATGAACACAATATTTGCACATAATATTATTTTCTTAGCGATAGAAAAATAATAACAAATCATGTTTACGCTTTGACGACCGAACACCGGTTCCCCTCTGAGCGCACGAGTTTTTATAGGCAACCTCAATAATTTAACTTCCATACTATTAGACATCTAACTAGTCTGACCATAAATACTGTTACATAAAAACTTTAATTCTTTTTCAACTTTTCAATTATTTTGAAATTGGAACACGTATATTATTTTAAAAACTTATTTCTATTTTGCGCCATTTCACATATTTTTTCGTGTTCATTATCAAATTACAATATGGAATGGGCTGTTAAAGGAAATAGGATTGCAGTGATCCCCTTTCCACAAAGTGGGTATGGAGCCATCGATCATATTCCAGACACTTCAAAAGCTTGGTATCAGCCGTATGTACTTCGTCTGTCGAAGACCAGAAAAGATCGGGGCGGCCGCTTGTTGTTAGAACTACAACGGTTGTTAATGCTGTTGAAGCCAGAATTCGTCGAAACCCCATTAGGAAGCAAAAAATCTTATCGCGAGAAATGAAGACTCCCGCTAGGGCTTTGTCGCGTATTATAAAACAAGACCTAAAGCTCGGTGCTTATCGCCGATATACAGGACATGACCTAAATCAATCTTTACAATTAAAGAGAGTGGATCGATCAAAACGCCTTCTGTCGCGATACACAGGTGAAGGGCACAGAGATATATATATTTTTTTATGTGAAAAGTTGCCAAATGAGCAGACGGTTCACCTGATGTTAAGTGAATACCGCCGCCCATGGACATCTGCCACACATCTATCTACGAAATCCGTTTTTATGGCACTATGATGAAAAAACCTGTAACGACCCGCATCTATGATAATAAATACCCCGTATCATGAACTGGAAGAAAATAGAAGACCTTACCTATAAAGGTCTCTCAAAAATAAAATGAGTCAGGTCCGACTCGGGTAAGGCCGTTCAAAAGGACTGCAGGAGCCTAATCAACACGCGAAAGTAAAACGATAGCGTGCTTTAAACTACGTACAGCGCCATCTAGTTATTGGAAAAGCCTAAGGGTGTGTTTCACAAAGTCTGAATAAAGTGTTGGAAGTGTTGGTGCTAACTCATAAATAATTAACTGCAATATTATACTTCCTGTTATAATAGTTTGCGTTTCACAAACGTCTTACCATTATGTTTGTGTCGGTTTGTTTGATACTTGTAAGCTAGAGATGACAACGTCTCATTTTGTTGTTTCAATTTACGGGACATGTGAAAACATAAAACATTTTCTTTAATTTAACCGCTCTTCAAAGCATTCATAATGCATTTTTTTCCATTATTTTGTGGTTCGTATTAATATACTTGAAAAACATACTTTTAAACAATTATAATGATACATTATAAGGTGGAAGTATGACTAATACTTTCGCGTTTCATCTGGTGAGTGGGGGGGTAGCCGGAGCCCAATTTTCAAAAGGTTGTCAACGCATCTGTAACTCGGGTATAGCAGATGTCCATGGGCGACGGTATTCACTTACTATCAGGCACGGCCGTAGCTAGGGGGGGGCATTGTAGGGCAATGCCCTACCTTAAAATCACAATGCCCTACCTTAAAAATACCAAAATAAAAATGCGTAAATATGACCACGTTTCTCAATTTTGTACACGTCTCAAGTGATTTCCCATCCTACTTCGCCGGAATTTGTATAATCTTTCTATGTTGTACCTACTGTGTTCTATTTCATGTTTCTACTCCACTTTATTTAAAGGAGAAATTTGAATTTGTAGGACTTCTAGGGGAAGATCCTACCTTCTTCGAGGAAGCTCAATTTAAAGGTGCCAAATCACAAAACGTAATGTTTTGAAAAATCTTTTACCGTACAGGTTTTTAAACTCTACTACTGCATTATATACTATACTATTGCATAACCTACGTAGTAAAGTTCCTTTACGCCATTAGTTGCCTGGAAGAGATCGCTATGAAGTGATAAGGCTGCCAAATTGTGCATTCCATTAATTTGTTTGTCTATTGTTAATTTTGTGTATCCTTTTATGTGTGGTGTGTGATTCATTCATTTATTCATTCAAAAACTAAGATACATTATTGTAATAAAAATTGTAGCGATAGGTATCTCAACTTTTCCGAACATACCACAGTTCGTCAAAATCAAAATCATTTATTTATCGACCTAGGAAACATACATTTCATCTATCGATATTATTTTTCTAACGGAGAAGAAACAGGCAAAAGGAATTCCGAAGATAGCCTCTTTTTTGTAATTTTTTTTCTTAAAAAATTAAAATATTATACAACTGTTTTTTTTTTCTTTCTTTAATAAAAATAATAATAAAATAGGCATTTGAATGATGATGATCTAATCAATTCCATTGCAAGTCGCGAAGAGTTGGATGTTGATAAAATGCTTCCACTGAAAAGTTTGAGTAATTTTAAAAAAATTGATAATTCAAATGATTTTTCATGCTCAATTTACAATTTAAACTAATTTTTATGGTCTGAAATTCTATCAAGAGAAGAGGCTAGAGTGGTTAAAGTTTACTTGAGTCGTAACGAGGACAAAATGGAAAATACATTGCTAGTGTTGTACAGGCAACGAGAGGCGTTTAAAGATACATTTGAACTTTTTGCATCTGTGGCGACCATAGGATGTAGCACTGCAGTGTGCGAATCTACGTTTTTAACTTTAACTGCAATCAATAGGCCTCACGGCGGTCAATGGTCCACGAGAGAATGGCTGGTATGGTATTACTGGCCATTGGAAAAAAAGTACAAAATCAGTTGATCTGAACGAAGTTCTTCGCATTTTTCATAAAATGGCGAATCGAAGAATTCAGCTATTTTAAATATTTTTATTATTATGTTAATTATTGTTAAAAGTCTGCAGAAACAATTTGATATAAATGGTATTTTTGGTCATATTATCTCATCCAAAAATTACTTATTACCCCACTCTCACTCAGACGTGGATCTCTACATCCAAAGCTAGAAGTTCAACCATCTTATTCGCTTATTGTTCATCATTAAGGATTTAATAGTGCTTAGATCCATGCTCATGTTCTGTCATAGAAATTATTTGTCTACGAATAGCTATTGAACTGACCTAGAGGTCAGTGATATACATGATGATTGATTTAGGAGCTCATGCTTCGAGGGCAGATCAATTATGATAAGTTGTTTACTTCCGCCCGACCTGTAATCAATGTTGCCCTACCTCAAATTCAACTCTAGCTACAGCCCTGCTATCAGGTGAACCGTCTGCTCGTTTGGCAACTTTTCACATTAAAAAAAAATGTATTTTCCTTGTTGGTGATAAATTCACCAACAAATCACTATTACCAAATTCGCTATTCAAAAATCTTTGTTTTATAAACGAATTATTAAATATTGTATGTCCATTATTTTCAAGTCTGAACCAACTATTGTTTGAACATTGAACGAGAATTGGGATTTTCTGTTCCGATAAATTTCTGCATTGCCACCACCTGTAGAATTTATTGAAATGTGGGTACAATCAATGGCACCAATAAGCCTTGGAAATCTAACTATCTCATAAAAGTTTCCTTGTAATTCATAGCAAACTGTGGTCGATATCGTGCGATTGCTCGTGACACCACATTTACAATGGACAAGCTGATGCCTTACTCACAACAGTAAAATCGCTAACTACGTTCACAAAACTTCCAGTTCCGTAATATCGCAGTTTCAACAAAAGTCGATCCATAGATGATGTAATTCGTGTGAAACAATTATTATTCCAGAACCTATTAGAAATAACATCGGTATTAAGTAGATACACATTTCACTTCAAACGTTATAGATAAAAAATAAAACACATAATTACCTTTCTGTACTTGAAGAAATCTTGTCCTCAATAAGTGAATGGACGGATTTAAATTTAATAAAGGTACTGTGTATTATCAGTACCTTAATTAAATCTAAGTCGCACTCTTAATTCCTCATAATCACCATGTAATTAGAGCGACTTCGAAGAAACACACGATCTCTGCGTGGTTCCGGTAAACGATAAAAAAATCATTTAATACGTCTTCAAAGGCATTAAATAGTAATAATCCATTTTTATTATTTTTCGATTTCACAAAATACGAAATACGTATACTAATTCCTCCTTGAAAATGATCTGTCCAGTAAAAAACCACCAAATAAATTCCTTGTCTGACAGTAGTTAGTTAGTACGTTAGTAGTTTATTCGGGACTTTATTTGGACATTGTGAATTTGTGAAACAGACCCTTAGAAGTGCATTGCAGAACGCAGATTCTAAATATAGTGAATTAGCGAAACGTAAGATAAGACCACATCATGTAGTCTCTCAAAAATAGAATGAGTCAGGTCCGACTCGGGGAAGACCAATGAGAAAGACTGGAGAATACTAATGAACACGCGAAAGTAAAACGATAGCGTGCTTTAAACTACGTGTAGCGCCATCTGTTTATAGGAAATTTAAACTGACCAGTTATTATGTCGACCTACGACGACCACTCCATGCAAGCAAAAAGCTCTGCATACGAACATTCCCCAAAATCACGAATGTTAATTATTGTAATGATAAATTTACTTTCTTCTTCTTTCTTTAATAAATGGCGTGATAAATTTACTTTCTCTTGCCCTTCCGTATTTATTGATTCAGCGCCATCTATTAGCGCGTTCGGTTAGCATTTAAGCAGGTACCATCAGACTCATTGTTTCTTTTACATAGAACCGTGAAGAAAACACAAAAATATTCTGAAGTACGTGACGGAGAAAACAATGGCTTCGGATGATTTCATTAATTGAGGCGTTTAGTAATTACAGGCTTTGAGAAATACTCTGCCTAACGTATATAACGATACTGGAATTTCCAGAACTAAAACGCGAGACGACCCGAATGACGTAGTGGATAGTGTACCTGCCTCCTGCGCCAGAGGGTGTGGGTTCGATCCCTACATATCCCTAAATATTGTGTGATGAACATAGTGTCTTTCTAGTGTCTGGGTATCATGTATAATAATATGTATTTATTTACAAAAGAAAAGTATGTTTCAGTATCTTTATCAGTGATCTAGTACCCATAGGAAAAGCGTTGCTTAGATTGGGACTAGAGAACGTTGTGTAAAAATGGGTTCTGAAATATTATTTTATTATTATTATTATTATTTAAGGTGCAGGACGAATCCCCACAATTTTTTTTATGTGAAAAAGTGGCAATCGAGCTGTCGGATCACCCGATGTTAAGTGATATCCGGGCAGCGGACATTTGCAACACCAGTTGCAGATGCACATACTTTTCTATTTCCACTAATTTTTTACCCGACTGCGCCAGAAGGAGGGTTATGTTTTTCGAGAGTACGTATGTATATTTAATTGTTCGGCACGCTCTGCAGCTTGAACGGCTAGATGGATTTTAGAGGTGTCGTTAGTACATAAAAATAAAAAATTACATAAAAAATCGCGTGAAAATACGCACAATGGTGGACCGCCAGCCATCAAGCTGGTGTGGACGGTTCGACTAGTTGTACTAGTGTTGCATATCGATAGTGTGCTATCGATAGACAATCGATTATCTATCGATAGTTAAGGTAAAAGCAATAGTATGGGTAGTCTATCGCTAGTATTGTCACGTGTCAATACTGTCGATACTACCAATAGTATCGATGGCTCTCCAAGTGCCAATACTATTGATAACAGCAATACTATCGATAGTATCGTTAGTAATGCATGCGATGGTATCAATACTATCGATGATTTTGTACTATCAATAGCCTTTTACTGGCTATCGATAGTACAAACCTATCGAGGCTATCGATAGTATCGATAGGGTTTGTCAAAAACTAATGGTAATTGCAATACTATCGATACCATAGATACTATCGCAAGCATACCTATCGATAGTATTGGCACTATCGACAGTATTGACTTGACGATATTATCAGTAGTACAATCGATATTATGAATAGTTTCGAGGGTCAACTATCGATAGTCAAACTATCCATGTGCAACACTAAGTTGTACGATGGTGAAATTCTGCAGCGGGTGTCAATCCGAACAGTACATCGTAGCACTCCCCAGAAACGGCGAAGGGATGCAAAATCTCTGCGCAAGGACCAAGGTTCGAGGTGACAGGACATAGTGGAGCACTCTGGACAGCTCTTGGTTGCACGCAGTTAAATAGAAGCTAGTACTTTGATGCGCCAACGTAGATGTTATTTTTTCACGCTCGCAATGCAAGAGAGAAAATCTCTCTTCCAACGCCTCGCCCGGAGGAATTTCGTTTTTTCTCTTTTTTGTGCGAGAAGGTGGTAAGCGTGCTGGCCGGTTCACCTGATGCTAAGTGATAGCCGCCCATGGACATTTGCAACACCCGAGGGTGATGCAGACGCGTAACCAACGTTTAATAAAGTAGACCCCGACTCCGACACACACACTCACACAGTACAACACTTCACGCCGGTCTTCTGCTAGGTCGTGGTACTCACCCGGACGGACCTGCCCATTTGTGCAACAGCGAACACTGTTGCGTGGCCCTACCACCGTAAAGACTTTAACCGTAATATCCGAGAGAAACAGCAAAGATGCAACATTTCTTCGCAAGCTGTCGAGGTGATCGGACAGGACCTAGTCGTCAACGGTTCGAGCAGCTCTACGTTGCATACAGTCAAATAGGAGCTAGCAATTTGGTGACCCATGGTGGTTGGGATGATAGATTGCCCCATTATGGGTGCGATTTTAATAAACAATTTCAAACTACCCTCATAGCAAGGCTCTATTATAATGTCCAAGAATACATATACAGTCCAAGGACAACGGCGTGTTGAAATGAATGAGTCTTGCTCTGCACTTGCAAGTCACCTGGCTGCTGCTGATTTTATACCCAAATAAGTTTATATTATTGTATCACTAAAAAGAGATAACAAGACCGCAGAGTTTCTTGCCGGTTCTTCGCTGGTCAGCTCTATTTTAGTGAACCGTATAGTTTTTTTGACTTTCAATTAGAGCTTCAATTAAGAATTTATAGAATAAATAAATTTGAATAATATCTGTTTTATTAACAGACTGTCGTGGGACAAGCGGCAGAAGACGCTAGCGCCGACGTTCAACTCGGCGGACTATTATTATGCGCTGTTTTCGCAAAACGTGCCGCCCACCCTCCACGTGTTGGCGAGGCACTCTGGCGGCGGCTACGCGCAGGTAGGGATGGGCCAAAAATAATCGGTTTTCATACTAATCGATTTTTTATAAATCGATTATATCAATTACACATTTTAATTCATTTTTAAACCGGTTTCGTAAATTTTGGTGAATTTGATTCTAATTAAATGTTAAATGGCATTGAATATTTTTGGCAAAAATGATTTTAGTTTTTTTAATTGTTTAAAGTTTAAATATTTAAAAACAGCTTAGTTTATTTTTATACTTATAATTTTATTTGACTTTGAACACTGATAAATTGTAAACACTACAATAATCTTTTAGTTTTGATGTACAGGCATTTCGAATAATAGAATGTAATCGATTTTTCTCAAACAAATAATCCAAATCGATTAATACAGAGGAGAGAATAATCAAATATTTTTTTTCCTTTAACGTTACACCCCTACGCGCAGGGCAAAGCGCCCGCCGCCCAGCTGTTGTCCGACCTCGAACGCAACGTGCCTAACGTCAGAGTGCTGCGCGTCGACGGCGGTCACGACGTGCACCTCACGAACCCCGAGAGGATCGCCCCCGCGATAGTCTCCTTCCTGGAGGAGGGAAGGAAATCGAAGCTGTAATAAAATATTCGAAAGTGACTGGCTGTTTTTTTTTATGAACGCCTCCGAAGGAAATGTCAAAAAAACGCTTGTTTTTTCTTTTTTGATGTTACAGTTTTGGCGCGCTCGAAAAAATTATTACAACTTGCACCTCACTAATCCCGAGAGGATCGCCCCCGCGATAGTCTCCTTCCTTGAGGAGGGAAGGAATTCGACGCTGTAACAAAATATTCGAAAGCGGTTCGCGGTTTTTTTTATGAACGCCTCCGAATGAAATGTCAAAAAACGTAACGTAAACGTAATTTTTTTGAGGTTATACTTTTGGCGCGTTCGAAATTTTCTCTATTTAATTGACTATGGTAACGTTCTACTTCGACCTGAATGCAGATCGCCTCGGTAAACTTGACCGAATTCTGAATAACTGCATTCGATTCGTTTTCAATTATACGTCAACGACGCTCTCTAAGAGCACTGACTACTTTATTCTTTCTACTCCAACTTACTTATTCCGTCCTTTTCTGTATCTATGTGCAGTCAACAACAAAAACCGTCGCTCTTCGCATAATCATCTTAACTGTCCTTCTCACCGTTCTGACTTCATGCACTCTACTTTATCCAGTCTATCCTTCTGTGGAATGCGCTAGCTGTCAAAATCATGTTGGCTAAAAGTCGCTATGTATTTAGATAAAGCTCGTGTACATATCCTCATAAACTTGTCTCGTTAGATCAATAAAATCGTATCAGAGTATATGTATACAGGTATAATATATGTAATTATGTATGTATATATATATATATATATATATATATATATATATATATATATATATATATACAGCGTGTCGTAACAACCGCGACAAGAAATGAACACACATACAGATGACTACTCTTTAAAATTGTATTAAACGTTTACATTCTTTAAACATCAATATTTACAGAGTTATTAAATTTGCCACAAAAAAAAACAATTTTAGAACTCATAAAAAGCATATGCATATGAATGGGTTGAATGAATTTAAAAGAAATAAAACATACTGTTAGAAGGAGAGACTTAACGCGACGCCGTGACAATGAATGAAGAAAAAGTCTCCGAATGTATGAATCAGTCAATTGTACCCGTATAAGTGTTAAAAATTTTGTTTCTTTTTTATTTACTTCTTTGAATTTTTTTTTAATATTAGTTTGTTTTTTTATGATGATTTGCAAGTAGCGTTAGAAGCAGTTAGCAGCAGTTTCAGTATATTAATGTCTTATCTATGGTTAGAAGTATGTTAATTTAATGTCGCGGTTCTAACAACACGCTGTATATTATATATATATTTTTTTTTTATTTGGTAGTATTTTTCTTATGTGTATATGTTGTAGTACTGTATTTAACATATTATTCATTTCAGATATATAACGATGAGATCGTACTCTTTGATTATTGATTTATATACATAATGTAACGACCTATTAATAATAATAAATATTATTATTAATTAGTCATAATAAAGATCAATTAAGATGAAAATAAAACGTTTAAGAACGTTTAATCACAATAAAAGTTAATAATATATACTTAAATTTAAGAAATATAAGTGTTAGTATGAGAAAATGATATTACCAAAAATTGATAAAAAAATAGTTCATAATCACTTAAAATACTCAAAAAAGGATATTTATTAAAAATATAGCAAGATACGATCACTATTATGTCAATTAAATACAATTCCATACTTAGTGATTTCTAAGGGAAGTATTATGTACCGTGCGGGGACACAATTGTATGATCGTACATATATAAGTACAGAGGTCGATCGCGACTCTTAGTACTATGGTTTAAGTACATTGTATGAACGTCCCATACCAATATCATATGGAAGTAAGGTCTAATGGATAAAAGTAATAATATGTGAAGGCTCAGAGAAAAAATAATAAATATATAAATATAATGAAGAGCAATGAATGACTTGGGACTTTAGAAGAGATATTACTATGGAGTTGCATGGTACTTCTGTACGACGATATGGTCTACGGTAAACGTGGAACCATGAATGGATATGTCTTGAGTGGAGGACATATCATCGATAGCTGGTGGTAGTTGGCGTCTTAGTGTGTTGCACTATGATACGTCGACTGATCATCTGACTTTGGGGAGTCTGGTGGTGGCTTGCGTCTTAGTGTATTCCACTATGATACGTTGGCTATTACTTGGCTTGGGTGGGGGTCCGTTGGTGGTTGGCGTCTTAGTCTTTACGCTATGATACGTCGACTATCATTCGGATCGTGAAAGAGTATGTTTGGACACTTCGTGTGTTCCGAGTATATTCTAAACTTTGGAGCCGAAGTTGATTGGAGTTATATTGGTGTGGTGTGAGGGTGTGCCACCTACGCGATAGTCACATTGACGCGTGCGGCTATATGCAGTAATGCGTCTTGTGGTAGTTGCGGGGTGCTCTGCGCCTAATGAATTTGACGACCCGAATGGCGTTGTGGGTAGTGTACCTGCCTCCTGCGCCAGAGGGTGTGGGTTCGATCCCCACTACTGGAAAAATATTGTGTGATGAACATGGTGTTTTTTCTAGTGTCTGGGTGTTTATATATGTATAATATGTATTTATTTACAAAAGAAAAGTATGTTTAAGTATATTTATCAGTTTTCTAGTACCTATAGTACTACAAGCTTTGCTTAGTTTGGGACTGGAAAATGTTGTGTAAAAAATGTGTCCTAAATATCATTGCATCGTATGATTCTGGTTGATGGAGGTTCGAGGTGATGCTGTCTGCTGTGTATGCGGATAGGCTGTATGTTGGCGTGTTGACCTGTTGCATTTAGTGACATTGCGTCTCACGACATTTGCTTGGGAGACGACGCTATTCATAATGGCCGAGTCTGCGTCTCGGTTTGATGCACATCTCAGTAGATTTGTCCAAGTCGGGTTCCTGATGACGGAACTGCAGACTGTCTGACCTCTTTATACGTTTTATTATTATTAACGAATCTCAGTAAAGTTCCCACCGTTCGAACGAATAATGGCAAACTTGCTGGTGGGTCAGACAAACTTGATCGAAAATACATTATACTCAACGTCAGAGACACTGACAAATAAATATATGTTACCAATTATAAACCCTTCTGATGGCTAAACATAAAAATCACAACTATGGCTATATCTGACTATTTCAATAGTTGGTGGAGCATATGCGTTTACCTCATGTGGATGGTAGCTGGCGGGAGAAAATCTCTCAAGGCTGCGGCGATGCCGTGCAACGTTTTAACCATACCCTTGGGGTGAGCAGTGACTCATAACGCGCTCTGCGTCGAAATGTCGTGCTAACCTTGTAATGGTGGTGATGCCAAAACACTAACAATCACGTCTGCAGTCGCGGCGATCTGGCAAAAGTGGTGGCGCTTACGGAGGGCTTATTATATCATAGGGCCAGAGTGCCTGATCTTTAACACATGCCCAAAACCGTATTGACGTACATTCACGAAGACTGGATCACAAAACCCTCCTTCTAAAGCTTGATTATTATGGCATTCGTGACATCGCCCTCAATCTCATTGCTTCTTACCTTAATAATAGAATTCAAAAAGTATCTATAAATGATGTAAATTCCGCAGGGTCCCCCATGAAAATGGGTGTCCCACAAGGATCGATCTTGGGCCCATTATTATTCTTAGTATATATAAATGATCTCCCCTTTTATGCCAGTGAGTTATGTGATGTTGTACTGTTTGCTGACGACACATCGCTTATTTTTAAGGTTGACCGAAATGTATCGAATTATGACGACGTGAATAGTGCACTTTTGCGTATCCTCCACTGGTTTACCATTAATAATATGGTGTTAAATGCTAAAAAAACTAAATGCCTTCTTTTGCCGTAACGTAAGAAGGCAAAGTTTTAGCTTCAAAATGAATAGCGTAACCCTTAATCCTGTTGAGTCCGCTGTATTCTTGGGAATCACAGTAGATTCAAAGCTCCAATGGAGTCCCCATCTATCATCTCTTGCGAATAGGTTAAGCTCCGCTGTTTTTGCAATTAGGAAGGTTAGGCAGCTATCAGACATCGACACTGCCAAACTTGTTTACTACAGTTATTTTCACAGCATCTTGTCGTACGGCATTTTGTTGTGGGGTAGTGCATCTGATATAAATTCAATATTTATTATTGAAAAAAGAGCTGTCCGAGCAATTTATAACATCGGAGCCCGGAATACACTCAGAGATCTTTTTAAAGAGATTAATATACTCACTGTTGCGTCTCAATATATTTATTGTAATGTTTTGTATGTTAAACAGAATATTAATAATTATCAAAATAATAGTGACAGACATAAACTAAATACTAGAAATAAGGACAAACTAACTACGCCATTATTTCGCCTACAAAAAGTAAACAGATCGTTCATGGGGCAAAGTGTGCGCATGTATAATAAAATCCCACAGTCGATGTTAAGTCTGCCACTTGATGAATTTAAACGAAAAATTAAAAGTACACTTATGGCTAAAGCCTATTATACTATTGCCGAATATCTTGACGACGCCAATGTGTGGGGTTAATACTGTTGATACTCACGTAGGCTAAAACAAGACTATTGTACCTGTACTATTATATTGTAAACTGATTTTTTAAAAAAGAGCAACTGTTGAGTTTCTTGCCGGTTTCTTCTCAACAGAAACTGCTTTCCGAACCGGTGGTAACTTACGAACGTGTTAATTTCTTGTAAAATTTTGACGTTTCATAAGAACGCGCAAGCGTCTATGTGAATAAAGATATTATTATTATTATTTATTATTATTTTATACTGGATTTGTCGTTGACTTGTATGACGTTTACACGCATTGACATGCGCGACTTCGGTCAAAGTTTGTGCTTACGCACTGCCAACACTGCCCAAAGGGGCCAAGCCCTCTTTATGCTGGTAAAACAGCTTTGCAATGGACTTCGGTCCTTTCCCCAACTTTTTGTCCCTCTTCTGGGGGGGGCAATATGTTGGTTGGCGCTCACCGCACACGGCGTTGGTGAGTG